ATAGTACTGGTCCCAGTACTGACCCCTGGGGACTCCACTGTTCCTGCACTGTCTTTAGTTTTACTTAGCTGCACCTCCAGATTTTGGACTGCCTCTATAAATTCACACCATGCTGATCAGATCTGATAAGCTTTCCATGAACCTGAAGTGCTGGGAGTTCAGCGAGCTGTAGCGCAGCGGTATCTGAGTCATTGTTCTGGAAACAGCTTGGTCCTGAAAGGCTTACTGGTTTCAGCCTAACTGTAGTAATGTCAGATCTGCTCTCATTCCCTCTAGACATTCAGGTGTTTTTGTGCTTTCCTGTGTTTCCAGCCACAGTCGTACAGGGAGGCCTGAACTGTGTGTCTGTGTGCAGCTGTTTGAGGTCTGTCTTATAGAGCACGTTAGTTCTGACTTTCTCTGCTTAGGTGTACCTACACTGTTTGCATAGCTCAGCTCACGCTGGAAAAAGGACCTCTGCATTCATGAAATGTTTTTTCTGAGCTAACAAACCTCACCGACTCTGGATGATTCTTCACAGAGTCAAATCAGAAACCTTTGCATCCAGACTGTCCTTATTCGGCAGCCTGGGTGACCACCAGCAGGCAGTTCAGACTTGCCAGACTGGGTTGATAAAACAGTTTGTTGCTTTCCCTTGCAGAAAAGCCTGGGCATAATTCCTTATGCTAGCTGCTCCCCTTTCAAGGGAATGGAATTTGTGCAGAAGCTACCTCTTTTTTTTTTTTTTTTTTTTTTTTTTTTTAATTTTTATTTAATTTGTTGGTGCCCTGCCAGCTGATGGTGTCTTGCAGCACCTTGCACGCCACTCTGGACATTAGAGAGGTAACATGACGTATATCACTGAGAAGTCTGGGAAGTGTAACACTTGTCAGAAATGTGTGTTGCAAGATAAAGTCATAGATATATTACTCAGGAAATGAAGTGTTGTAACAGGGAAAAGCTGTGGTTTATGTTTGTTTCATTAATAAACTGGGAAAGAATTTGTAGTATTTTATTGGCAGGTTAAAATTTAAAGGCAAACATCCCTAAACTTGGATCAGTTTAGGATAATGAAGATTAGTACTTAAAATCCCGTGAACTCTACTGAAATACATAGTTACACCTACGTGCATTTTTTGTTTGGTGTTTTTCGAAGTATTTATATGGTTATATTTAAATACTTGTGTGTTAAGAATTTTTTCAACTATACGAGTAGAGCATAGCTGTAAGTAATCCAAGTTTGCAGAGCTACAACACACTGGTCTTAGTCTATTGCTTATGCTGTACGATAAAACTATGTAATATCTTGCTTAAACCAACCTCATTTTAAATAGGAGAGTTTGAAGTTTGTATGAGTCACTCTATGCTTACTGGATTTTTTTGGTCATTGATGTTATTGCAACTTCAGTTCTCTCAGATTAGATTAGAATCCAGTTATTACCAGTTTTTTTGTAATAGATTATAATGAAAACATTTTTCTTTGATAGTGACTAAAACCAATGTTTTCACATATGGAGCTGCTTCTATTTTACATGCAAGTCATGCAAGAAAAATTCAGGATTTTTGTTACAAACCGTAACTTTACAGTTTTACCAGCTTGCAACTTATTTTCTTCATCTTTTTGATAGGAGTTGGCCAGATTTCCTAAGAATAATTGACACACAGAGGAAAAAAAAATAGCTTCGGTATTTGTATATGGTTTCCATTTATCAGGAGGTCCCATAAGACTCTGCATGCAATAGCAGTTGGGTGTATCTCTTTTGAGACATTGGACTCAGTAACTGTTTACAATTAACAGACTGAGCCTTTTTCTTTTAGAAAATATCTCTGTTACACTGACAGTTGTGTTTTTAAGTTTTTCCTCAAATTCTGGGAAAATGCAGCCAATTTTTAAAAAGTTTCCAAGTGAGTTATTTGGACCTTCCACTGTGTCACTAGAGATTTGAGATTTTACAGGTTCTTGTTTTGTTTTTTCCACAAGTCTTCAGTCTGCTGGTGATTAAAAGAATGTCTTTGCAAACCTATGGCACATTGTGAATGTACGTGGCATAAAGTCATGTCCAAGTAGAATTAGCCAAGATACTGGTTATCCAAGTGTCAATAAAATAACTTCTTGGTCCAAATTACTTCATGTATCTTGTTGTCTGTCAAATACTAGTAATACAGTCATACAATTTGTTTGCTAATCCCTTGGCTTCCTTTGACAGTGGGGGTATTCACTAACCATAGTGCTTCCAAAATGTCAACTGCTGGTCTTAAAACAAACCAAACCTTCCCCTGCAGTATGCTTATCTGCATATGATTAGCTGTTGGAGGATGGTTGTATTCCTTATGCCAGGCTGCTTTCTTTGAGGTGCTTTTTCATGCAATTAGTTGCATACTTTGACCATCAGGTCACCAGTATGTGTACCTAGCAGTTCATCCTCAACATGTGTTTGAATGCTGCATAACCCAGGCTAACGTTACCTTAAAAAATCAGATGCTGAATAATGTAAAATGATGATACAGACATAAAATTTTTGGTTTTCAAATGCACTGTTGTTGCTTGTACTGATTTTTTTTTTTTTTTTGTAATGCAAATAATATTTACATTTACTACATATGTAAACTCATTTATTACTGAAAACTGTGATGGCTTTTACATGTGGTCAATAGCTAAAGCAGGATGTAACTTTCTTTGTTGTGTCACTCAGATGTTACAATGCAGTTTTAACATTATGTCCATATATACTGAAATGCTGGTAGATTTTTATGCTATGTGTTGCATTTTGTGGGATGCTGTTACCATGGACTCTTTTTCCACAGAGTTTAGTTGCAGTTTCTGCATCTAAGGCTTAGTTTATTTCCCGTTTTCATTCAGTTTCCCAAAAGAGATGCGGAGTTTGGTATTTTTCTTCCTGAATCAACTTTTAAGTATTTTTTCCATGATTTTTCACTGAATATACTTTATTGCAGCAAATGGAAACTAGCAAACCAGATAAAAAGTTTAAATGATATTTTGACACAGTGATTTGGGGATCTGTTTAAATTATTTCTTTGTTTCCAAGCAGAAACCACGTTAAATAATTTCAGTTCTGTTCCAAGTAGCTATAGGTTGAGGTTCTTGGTTTGTTTTCTTTGTAATTGATGGTTTTACATTTCATAATACACCAAAAGTAGATCAGCTTTTAAAAAAATGAGTTCTGTCACTTGTCGGTTTCCTGTGCTGTGCTTTCTTTTCTCTTCTAGGAAATGGCAATCTTTGTTTAGGCCAGAAATAGGCCCAATTTTATATTTAAAAGAGAGAATATTATTGTATTAAATGGCATCTAAGTATTAGAACTTGCTGAAAAAATACCAGTGACAGTTTTCTACTGGAAGAGGCTGAGCTGAAGTACAAGGGATGTACCTATTTCATTAAAAGCTACATGAGAAACTACAAATTTTATAATAAAACTTAAACAAAAGAGGTTAACAAAGCCAGATTTGTACTAAACCAGAAGAAAATTATTTGAAATCTTGGAGTACAGAGGGTCTTGTAGTATGCAATATGCAAAATCCAATTTTGGCTAGCTTAATTGGGGTATGTACTTGCAGGACTCTTACTCCAGAGGGTTTGTCGATGTTAATTCAGTTTCACTCTATGCCACTGAACTAGGAAACATTCACATGTGTGGAAACTAAGTTAGATTTTACTTGGTCAAAATCATCAGACAGTATATTGGACCAGGAATTGGTATGTTCCTCCATTTTACTGATCTATTTCTTAAGCCATTGTTGTGTGCACAAACATAGTGGGAATGCTGTGTATTTTACTTGAACAGAAGACTGCTTACTCTCTGCCCACGCTTGGTAGCTTTCATTTCAGTTAATACTAGTTGAAGTGCAACTGTTGAATGTTATTCTAGCTTTTCTTGGTGCCAAATGTATTGTTGTTGGATTAATATAGATGTATTTTGTTCTGCTTTCTTACATGACATGCTTTACAACACTGCAGAAATATTACTGATGATGAATCCTCAGTGGATGAACTGAGAGGGACGCTGCGGTTTTTTGCATCTGTATTAGTTCGGAGAATTCACAAGGTAAGGTGACTTAAAGGTATTAACGTTGCGTTCCCATCAGGAACAACTGATATCCATCTGTAGCAAGTTCTTTAACTTTTTTAAAATGGTAATTCCTAAGTCAGTCTTACAGAAAGTATAGGCAGTTTCCATCTAAGTTTCTTCTTTGCATTATCTGTTCCCTCCTCCTGGAGCTTATCCCATTCCTAGTTATAAACCTGCTTTGAAGATTCATCATTGGAAGTGTTCAACATCAGGTTGGACATGGCTTTGAGCAACCTCATCTAGTGAAAGATGTCCCTGCCCATGGCAGGAGGTTGGACTAGGTGATCTTTGAAGGTCCCTTCCAACCCAAACCATTCTATGATTCTTTCAAATTGATGTGTTTTTTACACCAGTGCAAGGCACTGTTAAAAACCTTGGGATGATCTTTTAGTTGTCTTTTAGCAACTTAGTCCAAGTGGAAACAATTTTGAGAATTATTGAAAAAGAGCTATTAGAAGATGTTTAGCAGTGTACCTGTTTCATAGCTTCTGCTTGCCTGACTTCTTTAAATGCAGACGAGGTTCTTAGGTTGTCTATAAAGAAGAGACTTTAAGTGAATAGCCTACTTAAGAATTAAAACAGGTATTGTTCTTAATGTACTTAAGAAACATTTTGAAGACTAAATATTCAAATTTTTTATTTGCTGTGTTTAATTTATTAGCACATACACTCTCTTTTCTGGTAAAGTGCTCCAAGCCTGTCTTTTACAGGAACTGCTTCTAACTTTCTGGCTGTTCTAAGCAGGAAGAGTTGCTCAGTGCTGACCCCTCTGTTGGAGCAACTACCATAAATGTGTGTGTCTTTTCCTCTCCTTAGTAACAGCAATATTTTCTCAGCTACAAGTTGTACATGTACATGTCATGACTGATTAACAGCCTGATTCTGCCTTTGTTGTATATCAAATCCAGATGACTTTCTTGTTTACTCTAACTCCAGCATGTTGCTTTTTAAAGTGAGCATGGGGAAAGTTAGCACAGACATTATGTGGAGGTGTGAAAGTGGAGTAAATCCTTCACAATGAAAATCTATAAAGTAAGGTCTTAAAATTTAATTTGGAATTGTAATACATGCAGGTGTTAGTTGTGTTGTTCGTAGATGCATTTTGATTCAGAAAATGATACTGTCTCCTCTGTTGATCATGTAACAAGGTATTAATCATGTTGTCTCAGGTCAGCTATAGCTTTTTTAAGTAGGATGTTAGTTCACCATATTTGCCTTTGACAGTGATGAAGTAAATGTAATATCTTCAATTCTGTGTATCTGGGTAGACCAACAATATGTGCAACAAAAACTCAAGACATGTACAAGTGTTAAGCACTGTTAGGGGAACTGCAAAATAAAGGTCATCACAGAAATGCATTTCTCTTTACAAATGTTTAGATTTATTTGTATCCGTCCTGCAGAATAACATAATTTAGTTTGTCTCTGTGTGTGAAGCAGTACAGGTATCTCAAGCAAAAAGATAGTCATAGTTACTTTGTGTTTTGGAACCAAATTAAAACTTGGCATGTTCAGCCGTGCAGGGGAGCATGGTGCCTCATGCTGTGCTGTATTTTTCTGCTCACACCCACATACAGATTCAGCCAGCCTCAGTTAATAGCTGTGATGCATATAGTACTGAAAATGTTGTGTGTAGAAATCAGAGTTGATATGCAAGTTGCAAATAAAATACCAAATTCTTGTAATTTTAGGAATCCTAGTTTAAAGCTTCAGTAGTTAGCTGAAAAGGGTTATGACAAAGTTTTACAGCCTTTCAGCTCTGATACAGTGTCCTTTATAACCTCATTTGAGGAGAAATTCTTCACCATTCGTCATAATTTTATTGCAAAATAAAATAGTCTTATACCTTTGCCAAGCAACTGTACTTTGAATTGGATTTATTGTTAAATGCTTGAAAGCAATAGCTCTGGCTAATAGAGACCAAATTTTGAAATTCAGGAACTGCTATGTGTAAAAAAACCAAAACAAAGAAAAACAACCAACCAAACAAAAAAAAACCCCACCAAAAAACCCCAACAAACCCAACCCAGACTTTTTTCCTTTCTTTAGGTTATATTTTTATATTTTTTGTCAAAGAATCTTCTGCTTCTGAATTAAGACTTAAAGTTATGAATTACTTCAGTGAAGAATTTCTTTGTTTTCTGTTTAAGGCTGCCTGAGTGGATATTTTGAGGCACAGTTGCTGAACAAAGTAACAAGCACTTCAGGCCAGTCAGCTCTTAAGTATATGCTGAAATACTTCCTCTCTCTTTTGCTCTCATCTGGATTTTCCTTGCTGTGGCCATTTCTGGGTTGGTTATGAGTTTTGAGGGGAAACTGAAGGGTTTCCCTTTGTATGGTGTGTATAGGTAGCCCTGCATCTGGTTGGTTGAGATTTTTGTCAAAAGTTGATAGGGTCTCCTACATATTGATAATCGTTTGCTTGCTGTGCTCTTTGACTTACCTCTTCAGAAATAGCACTCCCTTATCCCTGTGTTCCACAGGAAACTCTTGATTTATTGAAATTACTGTTGAAATGTGAGACCCAAAGGACAGGGTTTTCCATTGATGAGCAGAAACTCCTACTTTCTTGCTTGTAAATAGGAGTTGACTTAATTTAGTTAGTTACTTTTAGGCAGTTGTAGTCAATTCTACCAGCTTGTCTGAGCTGGCCAGGTCAGGCCATAGCTGTGCGCCTCAAATGTTACAGGGGAGTGTGCAGGAATACATGCTGTTCTTGTACGAATGAATAAAACCCTAACTTTTTTCTTGGCTCTGGTGGCCTTTGCAATTACACTGTCTTTCCTTGTCTGGCAAGAAGCACTTTTATGCTTCTGTTTCATTACTTAAGGTCTTTGTTTGACTTAGTATTAAGGAGGGACAAACTCCATTAGGAAAGAAACTTGTTCAGATGTCTAAAATTTTGAACATTTGCAACTGTATGTTTCTGCATCTCTGAGAAGTCTTTTGCTCTTGGTTGGACATGCAAAATGTAAATCAGTTTCTGGATAAGTTTCTGTGGAAACTACTGTGGCTGATAAGCAGAATCCCTTGAAACTGTATGGGCTGGGGACTGACTGGCTGTGGAGAGAAGCTCAGCTGCAAAGGCCTCATGGTAGACAGTAAGCTGAACATGAGCTAGGAGCGTGTACTGGCGGCAAAGAACACCAGCAGCATCCTGGTCTGTATTAACAGGAGCAGGGCCAGTTGATCAAGGAAGGTGATTATCTGCCTTTACTTGATGCTCTTTAGACGGCACCTAGGATACTGCATCCAGTTTTGGGCTCCCCGTTACAAAAAGAGACATTGATAGAGTGGAGCAAGTTCAAGCAAGGAGCCACCAAGGTGGTCGAGGCTGGAGCATGTGATCTGTGAGGAGCTGACTGTCCTCATTTCAGGAGGTTTTCAACATTGGGGTGGATACAGCCCTGAGCACCCTCATCTGAGCCTGCTTGAGCAGGAAGGTAGGCTAAGACATCCTGAGGTCCATTTGCGCCTGAATTCTTCTGTAGTTCTCCTTTCATTTTCATAGCTATCAAGGAAGGTATAAGTGCAGGACTCTAATGCAACCCTTGATTAAATCGTATGTGCTTCTTGTTCCGCTTATGATCCTGTGATACCGTTGTTGGCCCTAATGGTCATCTTGACTCAGTAACTCAAATTTTCTTTCGGTTCTGCCATTCACCTGAGCTGTGACATTTTTTTCCTGCATATAGAGAGAGGAGGGGTTTGCTTTGCTTTTAGTCCTTGTGGATTGCTGATGGTTAAGGTATGCAATTACTGGAAGCAGAGCATAGTTCAGCCAGCTTTTGGTGGTGGTCACATCCTCGTGTAGAGCTAGGCTTCTTATACTGTGACTTGGAAATCAAGCTGCATTACTGTAATTATCGCAATGGAAGGATTACAATGGGAACAAGTTGTCAATACATGTGTTAACAGTATTGTTCATGGCATTTAGTTCTATATGATGGTATATGCTTTGCCCAGAAGAATGAGCATACTGTCAGTTCATCTGGAGAATTCACGGGTTGTTTCTTAAGGGTTCAATTTATGGTTAGAATGGGGACATGTAAGCAAATTAATGTTTGATAGTAGTCTGTAATGAATTTGGGGAAAAGCACTAGAACAACTCTGGTTTCATTTTAAAACTTCTTTAGGTGGATATTCCAACTGTTGTAACAAAGAAAATGCTCAAGGCGGCAATGAAACACATTGAAGTGATAGCAAAGGCCAGGCAAAAAGGTAATGTAAAGACTTAAGTTGTAAGTTTCAAAGAGCAAGTATAAATGTTTCTTTTTGCATGTTTGTTATTATATTTGCTAAATATTTTCATCCTCACTGTCTTCTCTTTAAAAAAAAAAGGAAGTGATCCTTCTGCATTTTTCTTCTGGAGGTTGCAAAGACAAATAGGGAAAAAGTTACAATACGAATCATCTCTCAGCTTTAATTTTAATTTCTCTACGTTGAAAATACTGAATTTCTTTCTCTGTATTGTAAACAGCAATTTGTTTGGCTTTTTTTGTCTATTCAAAGTCATCAAGATCCTTTATGCCTCTTGAAGTTTTCCCTTTGTATTCCAGATGAGCAATTATAAGTGAAAAGATTTGCATGTCCATGCACTGTAGTGTGACTTACAGCTAGAATGATTTCACATCTGCACACTAACATGAGCCATCAGTGGAGCTGTTGAAGTTGAAAAGTTAGGCTTATGTTTATAAGCCATGGAGAGACTTTGAGCAATAGCATATTTAATTATTATCCAAATAAAAATATCTTCACAAGCCTAATGTAAAAATTTATATTAAAATTTCACATTGAAGAAATATTTGGAAAATAGAACACTTGTTGTTGGAAAATAGTTATCTTTGTTTTTTTCACTGGCTGTGTTCCACAATGCTGTATCTACTAAATGTGGTTTCATTCAGCTTTTAAGCATAGATGTTTATGTTCACTGGAGTCATGAACTTTCCTCCCTTCCCTCAAAACATCTGCTTGATATCCATAGATACATGCTGTTGGTCCTGTGGGTAGTGGGTAGGAATAAGATCACATGATGTCTCATTATTCATCACATTAGATGTGATGGCACAGCAACAATTTCAAGATACTAGATTACCTTACAGTGCTGTTTATGCCAAATTTCATATTTCCTTTGATTTCTGCTAAGGAGTTGGAAACACTTTTCTTTAGCAGCAAAGAATTGGATTTTAAATGTACAGCATTGAAAATATAGCAATTTTCTTCAATGTTTTAAAGAAGACACCTTGTTCCCTGAGGGCAGATATGTGAAGCAGCAGCTGAAAATGACTCTTAGTAGTACTTTGCAGTAAATGTTGCTAAACTAGACACCTGTAATACATGGTTCAGAGGCAGTTTTCAGACCTCGTTTTGATTGCTAGTTGATCCTAGCCTTTTCTTTATTCTTTTTCAAATGGTTGCTTTAGGGGGCATTTCCTTTTTTCCCCACTCTTCTTACCCTTACATCTCTTAGTAATTCCTAACTATTTGCATAGACGCTTCCACAATTCATTACCTGTCCTGGCCAGAGTGTGCATTCCTCCTCTGCTTTTAGTGACACCAGCTAAGCAGATTTGTCAGGCAATATACATTCCTGCATCCTCCATATCAGCTGATACCATTCATGGTTCTTGGTTGTGAAGGGCAAGCTAGCAGGCTTCTGTACTACATTCAGTACGCTGGAAACAAGCTTTAACCTTCTAGATAACAGGTATGTCATTAGGTACCTGACCTGTGCCTGGTGTGGTTCTTGGCGTGAGGCTGTGCTGGATTGCTAGTGCAGCTAGGTGTGATTTGTATTACAGCTCAGTTCTTGCCTTTGAAGTGATTTGAAGGAATATAGTATTGTTGCTTCTAATTAGTTTTAATCTGATAAAGCAGGTGTTCTTTCAATTCCATAGAGCTACTTATAAGAGGCAGCGCTCTTGCAGATCCACATGCTGGTTTTGGTTTGATTTACACTGTGTTTAAAATATATGTTCCTTCACATTTGTTTCTAAATGTTCTAAAAGAGACATATAACGGGATTGAATAAAAATTTAAGTTAATTTCAAATTGTGTTGTAGACAAATCAATAGGTAGAAGCCAGGTAAATGGGAGACCATGAAGGAGGTCAGGAAAAAGCAAGTAAAGGCAGACTTTGGGCAATGCAGTTTTTTAGAAGAATCGAGATGTTGAGTTCTTCAATAATTACAAATGAGAAAACATTATGGAAACCATGCGAACTGCAATTGTTTGGTGAAAGAATTTTTATTTCAATCTGAGGTTTTGTTTTTACATAGCCAGGCTTCCAAGTCTAAGCCAAGGTTCTTTTGTAAAGTTTCAACATTGTATCCCTTTGGCAGTTGTATATGTACTAGAAGTATTAACTTTTTAGCTCAAATGAAAAGCAATTGCCTCTTGCTTCACAATAAGAAAAAGCTGAAACAACTTGTAATACTGTTTTTTGCTTGCAGTAAAAAATGCAGAATTTTTACAGCAAGCTGCTTTAGAGGAATATGGACCAGAACTCCATGTTGCTTTGAGAAGCCGAAGAGATGAACTTCACTACTTAAGAAAACTTACTGAACTTCTTTTTCCTTATATTTTGCCTCCGAAGTCAACAGAGTGCAGGTATAGAAATTATTTAGAATTGTATTCTTTAAAGTATCTGCATATTATGCTGTACAATAATTTTAGGGAATGAAAGAATGAACTCCAAAGTCATCCTCCTCATCCCTCCTTCTTAGCCCTTTGCTTATGAGAGTTTTTAATTGGTCTTAAAAATATTCCAGCATGCTTAAGGTATTATTAAATATTAAAATATTTCGCAGTAAAATATAAAGGCATTGGAAATTTCACTTAGAAAATTATGTAATCTAGTATTGATTCTCATTTTTTTCTTTTTTTTTTCTTTTCTCTCTTTTCAGATCCTTGGCTCTTCTGATAAGAGAGATTCTGCCTGGTTCTGTTTTCCTTCCTTCGATGGATTTCTTAGCTGATCCTGTAAGACTTCGGGGCACAGGAATACTCTTAATTTATTCAGTGCTATTGTTTTCCTGCTAAGTATGTTGTGGTAAAGCAAATTATGCACAATGACTTAATTGCTGTGCATTTTGACTGGGTAAAAAAACTTATGGCCATTGTTTTTCTTTGTTCATTGTAACTGGTTTGAATGCTTAACTGAACTGACTGAAATACAGTATTGGCATGATCTCTTAAGAATGTATTTTTCATGAAGGACTATAATTCCTGTCAAATGGGGGAATGCTGTGCCAGTATAAGCACCTTCAAATTGCTGTAGCCACATTTAAACAAGGGCTCAATTATTTGAAATCTATCTGTATGTATCTTTATAGCAATCTAAGTAAACTGGCCCTTTTTGCAGCTGTATTGAAATAAATTCGTTTGTCCTTAGTTCTGCAAGTAAGAGGGCATTTAGTTCTAACGATGGAACGCTGCCAGCTTTGATTTTATTTAATAGGCAAAATTGCAATACTTAGGAAGGTATCACCTAGCTGCAAGCAGAAAGTGTAGAGGTATTAGTAGTTCATTAGATCTGCACTAACAGTAAAAATCCTTGGTAAAGCTTTCTTCCACTGGGTGAAGAATGTTTCAGTGCAGGTCTCTTCAGAAGTTCTGTGACTTGTAAATTCTTGAAGAGATTGTTGAAGGTTAATTCTCAAACTTGTGTTGCCAGGCTTTGATTTTTTCAAAGTATTAATATACTCACATGTTTAAAATTGGGTGTAACATAGTTGTGAAATGATTTTAATCTAATTTGTTGAGTTTAATATTAATTTTGTCTTGTGTTTTCCTGCAGGACACTGTCAACCATTTACTGCTGATCTTCATTGATGATAGTCCAGTGAGTACTGACAAAGTTAAAACTGTAGTAACTTGCTTACCCATTAAGGAAGCTTTCTTACCCGATTGTCTCATGTCATTTTTTTCTGCAGCCTGAGAAAGCAACTGAACCTAGTTCGTCATTGGTTCCATTCCTTCAGAAATTTGCAGAGCCAAGAAATAAGAAACCGTCTGTAAGCAAAGGCAACATTTATTTCCTTTCCTGTTTTGGATAAGTGTTTTACTTTACTTGCTGTTTTTGTTGTACAAGTCTTTACATTATTTATGTACTCACTGAAAGTTTGGAAATTGGCTGACTGCATTTTTTACCTACTAAGGTACTGAAACTGGAGCTAAAGGAGATCAGAGATCAGCAAGACCTTTTATTTCGGTTTATGAACTTCCTGAAACAGGAAGGGGCAGTCCATGTGCTGCAGTTCTGCCTGACTGTAGGTAAGATTGCATACATGTGCTGAGGTGTATTTTATAATCTTTAAAAGCTTTATGCATTTGCACATTGAAGTGAGTATTCAGGCTTAGAACTAGGCAGCATTGTTAAGCTGAAGCGTGTGTTTGGTTTTACCATTACACAAATGTTTGAAAAGCCTTCTACTTCCCAATGATAAGGTTTTCTGCGAAGTTTCTGTGAGTTAGAGTGGTTTATTTCAAGTTTTTTTTGTCAACTAGTAGTTAATTACTGGCTTACCAAAATAAGTTTGTTTTAGTTTTTAGTAAACAAGTATTTCCATGTTGCGTAGGAAATGATCGGTGTGTCTTCGTATCCCAAGCCCATACGTACATCAAGAAGATGTGAAATTAAATTAGGCAGACTTTGTCTTATAAAATACTGCAGAAGTCAGTCATTACATAAGAGAAATATGAATAATCTCTGTGCTTCTTACTTGCTCATAATCCTTCCAAACATGTTGGCGTTTTGTCAGAAAAACTCCTCTCCAAAAATCCAACAAAGCAATTCTCTGTTCAGTGCTGGTGGTACCTGCAGGGGGTTCTAAGCTGACCCGTCCTGCTTTCCGTAGCAGGAAGGTTGTTCCTACTCAGACTGTGGCTGTTGCCCACGATCAATATTTTTTTCTGGGTAAACCTCAGATTTTTCTTCCTTCTAAACTTCTCTTGCGTTCTCATAGGTGGCACAACTGTGTATTAGCTTATAAAACATAGAATACGATTTAGGTCTCTCAAGTTATGCTGCCCCACACTGTGTCCTGTAGGTGGTTCTTCAGTTGACAGAAATAAGAAGTGATTACTGAGGAAACTAAACCAAAAAAAAAAACAAATCAAGAAGGGTCTTGGTAGACTTTCTCTGAAGGAATTTGGTTTTGCCTATTAGTTGAAAAATTCATCAAACGCTACCTTTTTTCCCCTTCTTCCTGGCCAGTGGTCATGTTATTAATGGGATGGGCCAATGAATCAAGTAGGATCACACGATGATTTTGTTGAATAGAATTTTTATTTCGCTGGGGGAGGTTCATTCTTAAGTTAGTCTGATACTAAAGATATTATTGAAAATACTAAGATGGATTGGGTTTTAGGAATGAAATAGCAGCAGAATAGGCAGGTGGCTGGTATAGAGGGCTGTTGGGGCTCTGTGTGTTTAGCATGAACTGGAAATCATGCTAAAAGAAAACTACAGTTTACAATTTGGTGATTTAGGAAGAAAAAAAGTAATTCTTCAATTTTTCTGCCAGGAAAAACTTCATGGATTTATCCTCACTGTGATAAGGAACAATGAGTTTTAATTGTAATATACTTGTAGTAATAATTTTATGAACAAATCTGAATTATAGTTACTAAGGCAGCAGTTACCTTATTACCTGAGATTTTAAGGTATCTTAAGTTTCTATTAATTTAAAAAAATTTATTTTTTAAAATTTTATTAATTTTATTACATTGTAAATTACTGTGTCTCTGGGAAAATTAATTGATGTTATAGGTTGCTTCGAGATGCTATTCGTTTGCCAGATTGATCAACAAATGCATTTTCTTTCCTTTACTTCTCAGAAGAATTCAATGACCGAATTTTGCGACCAGAACTGTCGGATACTGAAAAGATGTCTCTTCATGAGGAAGTACAGAAAATTTACAAAACTTACTGTTTGGACGAAAGCATTGACAAAATTAGATTTGACCCTTTTATTGTGGAAGAGATTCAAAGAAGTAAGTTTGAATTTTAAAGGAATAATTTACATTGGATTTTAAACAGCATTCTGTAATAAAATGAAGACTAAATTCATCTGAATATGATCGATCTTTACTTTTGTCATAGTTTTAGATATTGTTATCCCTTACTGTTTGCTTAAGCCTTGTTTTGTCAGTTTATTTCTATTTTTCATTTGTCAGACTTACAGTAGCTTGCAAAGCAATCACGAACTCAGACCAGAAAAAAAGGTGAACTTTTATATGCCCATATTTATAATTGTTTTGTAGTTGCTGAAGGTCCATATATGGATGTTGTGAAACTTCAGACTATGAGGTGTCTTTTTGAAGCTTATGAGCATGTACTTTCTCTACTTGAGAATGTTTTCACTCCTATGTTCTGTCACAGTGATGAGGTAAGTGTGCAAGGTTTGAAGAGCAGTCTTAAAGCAAGATTGTATTTTTCTTAGGATACCCTATTTACGACAGTCACATGCATGTGCATCTGAAAAATGTCTTCATTTTACACTTCAGTTAGCATGTGAGAGCTGGGACCAATCTCAGTAAGAAAACTGAATTTATTCTAGTTCAACACAACATCAACAGCATTAAAAAAAAAAAAACCTACTTTTTTTTTTATGTAACTATTTATGTGTATCACTGTTATTACAAAATCCTCTCCATCCCTTGTTTTATGATTGGAAATTCGGTGCGAAAGAAATCTGCATGATAGTCATAGAAGACTATTAAGAATCTCTTTATCTCTTTTCTAAAATAGAATGGTACTTAAAGAAAGATACAACGGTTGTATTTAGGTACCTTGAGTGTTGAGCATTCCAGCAGCTAGAAGTCAGGTATCTGTTTTCAGGAAGGTCATTCAAAGTAATTTACTAGCCATTTAAGATTGTTCTATGATTGGGTTCTGAATGCAGTTAAAAAAAAAAAATAATTCCCCACACTGGGCTGACAGCTGCCTAAAGCCTTCTAGTAGGAAACCCTTTAAACACAGGGGTGAGTCTGAATTCTTGTCCCTTTTAGAGCTTTTGTGTGTAAATCAGGTTGCATGTTAAGATCCGCGCATGTGTTTGAGGCAGAATATATTAACTTGTCCTGGGAATGGGTACTTACCTTAATTGGCGTTATTAATAAAGTGTCTTTCTCAAAAAGGATATTGATGGTCATCTTTCCCATAATATCTATAATGTGTATGATTGATTATTATTTCTTTTTAACAAGGAGGAGACATGGATTTTGGTGCTTAATTTTAGGTTTATTTCTGTTTTGTTTTTTTAGTCCCAAGACTATGTAAAGTAAGTAGTAAGGGGGCCTACAAGAAGACCCGGGAGGGACCTTTTACAAGGGCCTGCAGTGACAGGACGACGGGTAATGGTTGGAAGCTGGGAGAGGGCAAGTTTAGACTAGATACAAGGAAGAAGTTCTTCACCCTGAGGGTGGTGAGACACTGGAACAGGTTGCCTAAGGAAGTTACAGATGCTCCACCCCTGGAAGTGTTCAAGGCCAGGTTGGATGGAGCCTTGAGCAGCCTGGTCTAGTGGGAGGTGTCCCTGCCATGGCAGGGGGGGTGGAACTAGATGGTTTTTAAGGTCCTTTCCAACCCAAACCATTCTGTGATTCTATGGTGCTAGTCCTGGGAGCCTGTATTGTAAATTTGGTCTGTCCTTTTCCAGATGAATATTCTAACGGCTAGATATGGTCAGCTTGCCCCTTGCTTCTGTTCTTGTTTCTTGAATTCTGCGATGTTGTTGCATAATAGTCCTTACCTCTTTTAGTCCAGTGTTTTCTTTGATACCTTGTTTGTCTGTTGTAGTACTTCAGACATCTTTTAAGAGGAGCAGAGTCACCAACACGCAATTCAAAGTTTAACAGGTAGGTATGGTAGAATCTTTAATTGTTTTTCTTTGGGTTTTAGTTAAAAGCATCAAAATATTAAACCGTAGGAATTTTGCTGCTGCCTGGTACTAATTTGACTATGTTTTTAGCTTTTTTTTTTTTTTTTTAAATGGACAAATTATGTACTAATGGAACAAGCAATATTATACAAGGTGTCTCTTCGCTTTGAAGGTTTCACATTAAAGAATTTAAAATGTCTTTTAGACCTCAGCATTTGAGAAGGGAAAAATAAATGTACAGTGAGAATAAGATAATGTGGAAATAAAGTGATTTAATTGACTGTATGTATAGAATACCATTTTGTTGGTGCAAAGCTGGGTCGCTTTGGATTTCAGGTCTTACAATGTGCCCTGCATCTAACCAAGCTGGTCATACAATGGGAATCTCTTCTTGTGGTGACAAGGAGGAGTTGCCATTTCTCCTAGGTCAAATGTGTTTTCTGTCCCCCAACTCATTGCAGAAATGTAGCACCAGAAGCCTTGTTTCTGGGTTTGGTCTATATACTTACACTCCACATTCAGGCTCCTTAGGGCCTGTGGAGAAGAGGAGCATCTCCTGTGGTATAGATGGGTGATCTTGGGCTGAATAAGCTTAAGCTCTTATTGTTTCTTGTCTTTCATTTTATGCTGGATGACTCAGTCATAGACTAGCCCAACTGAATTGCTTTTTGGTTTAGCCGAAAGAAGGAAAACTTCAGTGAGGTGCTCTTTAATTTGGATAGCCTTGCTTTCTTGGTATGCAATAAGATCCACAGTATTGTGGAAAATGCAAGTGTTTATCATCTTAGATTAATCTTCTAGGGGATTAACAAAAATTTTTTTAACTTTTTCTGCTTTCATTAGAGATGCATCTAGCAGCAGCCCTCTTGACTTGCTGCCTACTGTGAGGTGTGTTATTGAGATTCCTTTCTCCGCTGCTAACATTCTTCAAAAACTACGTGATTGTTCTTTTTAGTGTATCTCCATTGGTGGCATCTATTCTGTAGTCTTTATAGTTCTTGTAGATCCAAGACTCAAGGTTTAGTGTAGTGCTTTCTCAGATTGGTGCTGACAAGCTGCTCTTTCTTAGCAAAGAAGCATGGAATGCAGCTAGACGAAACTGCATTTCTCCCCTACATGACACTCCACTAGGAATGGTGACCTTAAAACACACTCCAGCTCTTGTTGAAGATGGCTCTACAAGGTTTCATCCAGACCTTTAAATCTGCCTTCTGATATCTTTCCCAAAATTATTCGTGTCAACAGTCGAAAGTATCCTGTCATCCACTTACATCTAGTTAAAGTATGAAAATATTTAGGTCACCTCCTTGGTGCTTTGCTTTCCAAAACAGAAAGGGTGACTTTACAGGCAGTCTCTACCTGGAGTTTTTGAAATACATCTCTGGCTACAAAATAAGAAAATTTTGTTTGGGGGCTGTTAGAACATATTCTCCTGGAGTTCAAACAGTATCCATAGCATTTCTGAAAATGTATCTGGTTTAGATTTTGGAACAATATGAATGCTCTGAATACATATGCTGGTTTATGATATGAAATACTTTATATTCCTGAACTGGTGCCTCAGTGATTATTTCCATGAAGCAGAGGTCCTGTCTGAAGTCCTATCTGCAAGTAGTTTGCCTATTGCTTTGGAGTTTCGCTCTGCAGAATCTGGTACAGTCACTGCCAAGGAAAAAAAAAGTTACATGTGGAATTATTCCAGATGTTATCCATATACACGTACCTTATCCTGCCTTCTCTTCCCTATTCTAGCATTAGTTCCACTTGAGAGAGATTATATGCAAAAATATGAGTTTTGTTTTCCGTATCTTTGATGCTTTGCTAGGGGTGCTGTGGGTGTATTGCATAGATACTGCTGGTTAAAAAGTCAGATCAAGTAGTTGATAAGAAATCCCAGTGGAATGTACATGAGTGTAATGTGTTGAAAGATTTCACTTATTGCAAGACAAGAAAATTGTGGAGCAGTTTCTAAAAAATACAAGTGGGAAAGTAGGAAGAAGTGACTATCAGTGTGTAATTTCTGGTTTGAATCACTACTTTGAACTATACAAAATAGTCATAGCTTTTTGTGATAGGACAAATAATGCGCTATGAAAACTGCAAAGGTAATAGATGAGAAGTCCTAAGCATTTCTGGAGTGTAAAGAAGTCACATTGAGGATATTCTGTTAACGTGATAACTAGCTGTGGTTGTTAGCAGTTTAACTCCGTAACTCATGTCTTCCACCTAATGTTTAATGTGTGTGGCCAATGAAAACTGATGTTTTAAGTTCCAATTCTGGCAACTTAATTTTGCATGTGTGGAAAAAAGGACAAGAATTCCCTCTCCCTCTCTCATATGTATAATACCTTACTTACAGGTATTCTGTGTTGGAAGTCTAACAAAAAAAGAAAAGGCATTATGTGATATAAACTCCCAGATTTCTGAGTAGCTGTGTATCTGCGTTGATTTTCTACACACCATGACCACATATAGAAACAGATGCATCCTGATTTCTCATCACTAGGATAACAATAAAATTGAAACATTTTTCAAGTAAAGGACCAAGTAGAAAAGATACTAACAATTTTGGGGAGTGGTTAGGAGTAAGACCCAGTGGTTAGGAGTAAAACCCACAGAATGAGCTCTGTAAACAGTTGTGTGCAATGTAATTGTAACCCTCAGTTCCAACTTGGTAGGTTATGTTTCCAGTCTCAATGTTAACATGACTAAAGACAGTGTAAGATGCATTAGAATCAGTCCCTCTTGTAAAACCAAATCTAAAATTTGAATGTTTTAATCCCATATCAGTTTGTCCAGGATTCAGTAGCTCCAGTGAATTAAAATCATGTGGGTGGAGACTGTGTTTATGGTTAATCCATTTAAACATCTCAGTTGGAATTGCTGAGTTGATGGCTGAGGCACTGGTTCCATGTACCACGTCATGTAGAATGTCAAAAATATGTGACAGTTCTTAAAATCTGTGAAATAAAATAATAAAAAAAGATACTTTAATAGTGTTTTTTACTATATCTAGTAGAGTGAGGTGGAGGCTGGTGTTACTACATACATAAAGTAAGTCCACAGCCTTTTCTTTGTATTGGCTAAATGAACTAGATTCCTACGTGACTTCTGAACATAGGTTATAGAAAAGGTTAGCTGCCTGTTTGGTACTGCAGGCAGGTAACTTTAAGGTGGAAGTAGTTCTTTATAAACTGGTAGCTGCTTCTGCTGAATGTCAGTGAAGACCTGAAAGTTTCAATAGCTTAGGCTTTAAATTCAACGGCCAACATTGTGGTGGTGAAATACGCAGGTACCGTTCACATTTCGCTTTCTTAGGATTTTAGGTCAGGAACTCCTAGCTGTACCACGTTTTTTATTAATCTGTAGTGATGGTCAAAGCCTATTCAGTTTTGTTGGGATAGGTCTGTCAAATTTGGTTGGTTGGTTTTCGTTTTTTGGTTGGTTTTTTTTTTTTTTTTTTTTTTTGGGGGGTGGGATGGGATTTTTTAACATTATTTTCTTCTGGGCTCTGAGGTAATTTATGTGCCTGTTGTTGCAGAAGTAGCCTGAGTTTGGATGACTTCCGGTAAGTCTATCTAACACTCGATAAGTGTTGTGTGTTAGTTATGCTGCATCTATCATGACTGCATCACACAGCCCTTGTAACAGCAATTAACTGTCCATTTTATTTGTAAAAAAAAAAAGTGTGAATGTCTGTATTTCTCTCCACCATAAGCTTTACTCCCCATGTCCTCTTCAAGTGTTTAGAAATTGCTATTTGTCTAATTTCACAAGGTTGCAATATATAATATATTAATATTGTTTGCTCTTAACAATTTGTTACCAGTTTTGAAATATATTTGCATTACGTGAAGCTTTTTTTTTTTGGCTTGTGACTGCTAGCTGCTCCCAAATACCCTTTACTCTATGTCACATTTCCAGATCCTGTTTGAGGTTTTATCCACTTAACTGCTTGTTTTGTCTTGCACGGCTGTGTCCAAGATGATCATTGCCTAACATCGCATGCAAATACAACCATTTTATGAATATTATCAAGCGCTCAAAACTAGCAGTTCCCTAAATCAGTTCCCTCTTCAGCTTTTCTTATGACTGTTACAGGTTTGATTACAACAGATGCTGTTACAATTCGCTCTAGGTAGTCTGTGATCACTCATTAGTGCCTTAATAGCTGTTCAGTGGTTTGTTTTCTCATTATTCGTGCCTCTTTAAATACATGCTATCCAAACTCAGAAAACAGTTTGGGCATTATGGGCTTTTCCTTAGAATTTGTCAGAGCATCAGGTTTTCATATATTACTCATACAATTCTTGAGTCTTGAGGGAACATTATCAACTTAATTTTAAGGTCAGGAATCAAGGTATATAGATACTTTTTATCTTTTATGTGCCAGTTCGATGTATTGAGTTGTAATGTGCTGGAGTGTTGAGCAATAAGAAGTACTTGAGATATAAGTGCAGCTGTATGCGCTCGGCATTTGTCCTAGTTGGGTGTAGGGGTTTTAATCAGCCAAAAGCAAATGGTACTCTGACTTCACATGCATGTAAATACCTAGCTTGTCTGATACATGCAACTTATTTGGTACTTCTTGACCCGCAGAGGTTCGCAACAGCATTCTTCAGCTGCATAGCCCTGGCTGATCACTTGTGAAGATCTGCTCAGTGCACTAAATGAGGCAGGGATCCTGTGGGAAAATTACTTTGCAACTATCCGTGATTAAAGAATGTCACAGGGCACAGTGGCGTTGATGCAGTCTTTGGTCTGCAATTCCCAGCTATAGAGTGAACAACAAGTGTAATTTTTTTAATGTTAGGTATGTGTGACTTCTGGAGCGTTTTTGTTGGGGTTTTTTTTGGTTTTTGGTTTTTTTTTAAAAAAAAGATATCAGAAAGAAAAACGTCTTCCAACCTCTTGTCATCACATCATTCATCAGGATGTTGGAACCTGTAGACTCTCCGTTCAGGGCCCTGCCGAGAAAGCCAACTATAGAATGATGGTCTAATAATGCTGTTATGTGGATCAGCACTAGAGGGAGTGGGATACGTTTTGCAATGAATTTTGTGTATGTATTTGTTGACAGTAGCAGAGTTGAAAGGTCTTGAAAAACTTGCTCTCTATTCTGAACTGGCCACCTTCTCTCTTTCTTTCCTCACACCTTGAATCTGACCATATCCTAGTCCTATGTCTTCACTTCTGCCTAGCCTCAAGTTCCTTCTCCTGTTTCTACTTAGCCAGTGAATCTATTAGATTTTCATCCTGATACCCTTTTTTTGTATTTTTTTTTGTTGTTGTTGTTGCTCAGCTTCTTCAGAATTTTGATCATCCAAAATTGGATGTTCTGTCCAACTGTGCTATTTTTCCATGCTCATCTAATCTGGCTTGTGCTCTGTGTGCTTGCTCAAGGATTTTTGCAAACCAGTCCTGTGCTCTCTCCATGAACTGTCCACTGTGTGCCCATGTACCCTCTTACTCACCAGTTTGTATTCTGAATTTGTGTCTCTTCCTGTGAAGAGAGTCTAGTCCTAGTTTGTTACTTTATACCTATCACAGTTTAGTGATTACTCTGTACTCATTAGGCCTGATCTTTGGGCTCAGCAGTAGGGCAGAAAGGGGTGATTCCTAGTTATCAGGTTGAGTCCTGGCCACATACAGCTCAGTACTGCAGTTACAGGCAAAGCTGTATTCTGCCTTCAGCTGGGGTATGATCAGTGCAGGAAAGAACTGGTCTGAGCCCGGAGTTCTCTTATCAAATCTTTGAGCTTGTGCAAATTAATGTTTTTGCTCAAAATCTTGAGCACTGCACAAGTTTTCACAGGAATGATGAAAATTCAAGAGCCAAGCCAGAGGTCTGAAGTATTAACCTTCTAGAAAAGCTGTCTAGTTTTATCTGAATGAGGTTTGTATGCTGCTAGCCAAGTGTTTAAGCTCTTGAACAAGATTTAGTTAGGTCCCCAACGTGAAGAAGTTCAGTTCAGCACAGTAACGTGTAGAAGTAGTTGTTTAAAAATGGAGTAAAATTGTTCAAACATGGATTTAGACTACAAACAGCCAAGCAACTTTATCTTTGGTTAGCAGAGATTAAATAAGATAGAGGGTGCCCGTCTGCTTTGGAGCTGATAGTAATACAAGATAGAAAAAGCAAAAGATTTGGAAAAACAGTGGATTATTTATGCAATTTTAGTCGTGTACGCAGTGTGGGTAAAATTATAAACAAGAAGATCACTAGTAACACACGCATGCACGTTTTGAGTTAGCAGTTGATGTCAACATGGTTTTTATGGGCGATGAAGATGGTTTACCTGCTGGTCACACAGAATGGTAGGGACCTCGAAAACTATCTAGTCCAACCCCCCTGACAGAGCAGGACCACCTAGAGTAGGTCACACGGGTCTCTGCTGTTCTGTTGGTACTACTGTTCAGTAGTTAATAGTTTTTTGTTTTAAAGGAAAATGAAACTCTTAGGATACTTTTTGGCCCTCTAAAGTACTAATTGTGCTTTATAAAGTTCTCTTGAGTCTTTGATTCTGCTGTATTGATTTTTTTTTTTAACTCGCCTATCAACTGTATTTACTGAATCAACGTGAGAACCTCAGGCTGATTCCATATTCAACAGAAACGTTTTTCTTTCAGAATTACTAACATTTCTATGTAAGAAATAATCTTCAGTGTCAGGTCTTGTGTAAGGGCATAAGAATGCTATAAAATCTGTTCTCTCGGTAAGGAGTGTGTTTTCTGCCCAATTATCTTTCTTTTTCCATACCTTGTTTCTTTTTGGATGCTTTGTCATAAGTGGCAACACTTTAAAATGTCTTCATCTTTCAGTTGGACTGGCTCTTCAAGCCAAGATTCTTAAGTTGCATCTGTTTTCTCTCATGCACAGTCTTGTTCCTCGCACATTCCTTTTGTCTGTCCCTAATGCTTAAAAGTTGAGATCTCTCTTCAGTCATACAGACTTGTAAAATTCTGGATGTTTATGTTGAAAAAAAAAAAAAAGGCATCTAACTACACCATTTACGGTACTTGGCAAGAGTGGATAAATATTTAAATATTAGTACATGGAAAAGGACAGAGTTAGTGACCTCCTTGGTATGCGTGCCTGTAGCAATACAACAGTTTTTGCTGTCGAAACAAAATTGTTTTGCATAGTTAATTGTTTATTCTATGTTCTGCATTACTGGGATACTATTGTAAGAGTTAGTGTTTGCTCATGGTTAAGATTATGGGAATCCCATATCTCGTAAAAGTGTAATCAAGAAATTTTGCTGATCAATCACAGAGCAAATTTGCTGTAAAGGAATTTAAATTTAATGAAATTATAAATATATTTGCTACTTGTTTATAGAGTTGTTTGTCTTATCTGCAAATGATGTGCAACGGCCTACTGAGATGCCGTGTAATAATATGCCTTGTGTTGTGAACTCTGGCTTCTGTAATCCTAGGACCACACAGAAGAGAGGAGAATCGTTTGGAATCAGCAGAATAGGCAACAAAATAAAAGGTGTATTCAAGAGTTCTGCGATGGAAGGAGCTATGTTGCCTAACTATAACTTAAATGAAGGAGAAGATGACTTTGTGAGTAAAAGCTTTAAATTTGTCTTTAAATATTTGTTGTTGTTGGGGCTTTTTTCTTTCCTTATTTGAAAATGTTAAGTTTCTGCCTTTGCTGCTGTCTTACTTCACTGCAGGGTCTCCATGTGCTGGCTTCTGATTAAGTTGCCCTGTTTTCCCTGTATTCATTCACAAGCCAAGGCCACATCCCCAGTTAGTGTGCCTCTGAGCTTACTGCTTTAGTCCAGAGAAGTACTAAAAGTAGCAGTGTCAGACATTTTTGTAAGCAATGACTTTTTATCTAAAAACTTACCATGCTATTTTATAATCATCTGGATAATAAGGTGTGCGTGGGCCTGCATGGCTTTTCATCTGGAGATTGCCACAGGACCTTAAAACCATAGATAAAGTAGTAGAGAAATTGCTGGAGAAGTTGGTCTGCGATGCAGCCATTTTCTCTAAAGATTGCGAGCCAACAGCCCTTTCTCTTTTGTCTTGGGTGTCTCCCTTAACTAATGTTTTTCTTTCATGCGAAAGAGCACTGAACAGAGCCAATGGTAGAACTATTGCATGGGACATGGGTAGCTGAAGCACATTTGGGGGACAAGCAGGAAATTTTTAAAAGAGAAGAGGAGGGGATTGCTCAGAAGCTGTTGGTAGTCACGTGGTTTTTACAGCGTGTCTGCCAACTCAACCTTTTGCACCTGTTCCTAACAAACAAAACATGTAAGCATTTATCACCTTCATAAACTGCTCGCTCGTTATCCACACTCTAAAGATAGAAGTGTAAATACGAGTTTATATTAGTTGCCTTGTTCAGGATTGCTTTCAGAAGAGGGTGGGAAGGACTTGGCAACTTAGAACTCTAGATAGGTTTGGGTTTTTTCTTTAAGAGGAGTAGAAAAAAAGGCAATTTTCTGTACAGGCTAAATCTCCGTATAAGTCATGCCTTTAAGGGGACAGAACTGTTGCAATTTAATTTCTTGGACAGTTAAGTTGTTGTTGTTGTTGTTGTTGTTGTAAGTGCTGTCTTTTTTTAGGCAAGATTCCAATGAAAATGGGTTAATTTTGCAGCATTGCTGTTGTGGATTCTGCTAGCCAACGGGTGTGGAAGTATGATTCCCCTGTAGTAAAGGAATTAATAGAAATATAATTGAAGCAGTGAAGCTCAGAGAAGGAAAGCGGTTTTGTGCCAGAGCACAAGAAGTTACTTGTGAGAAGTTGCTGAATTCAGCGAGAGAGACAGACAATACAGCGTCTAATCCTTACTAAGGAAGGTTTTCACATGGACAGAATTGTTTTATCTTGGGCAAGAATGGAACGTTTTAAGTGCAACATTGTCTCAAATCCCTTCACTAAATAAAGGGAGGATACTACATTTTTATTAAAACTGCCTTAGACAAAGTTAGGGAAATACCTACGTCCCTTCACTTTGTAAGTGTGGATGGGAAGAAGAAATGGGAAAACACTGAACTGTTGTAATGTTACTGTGTGTCCGAACAGCTGGACAGAGCCATGACTTTGTTCATGATTGAATACTGAATATAGAGAATTCAACACGAATAATGTCACAGTAAGCGCTGAGGTGTAGTTTCCTAGCAGGCATCACCGGGTCAAAGGAAGAGCTCTCTGGGACGAGAAAAATGTGATCTACGAAATGACAGTATGATTGTAAGATGATGGCAGTGCAGTATACAGACTAAGCAACTTTTTGATTAGCTTATGTACAGAGGATATGGGAGTTCTTTCCTCCTACACAGATCCTGATTAGGTATTTAAGTAATTTAATGTAAGCTCGGTGGATTCAAGGTAAGGTATAAGGTAAAGAATGGCAGTGAAATAGAGTTCTGTGCATTGTGACAGAAACTGAACAATATCTTTGCTTTTTTTTTCCTTTTTTTTTTGTTTTTGACAAAGTCCAAAGCCTATAGGAAACATCCATTTAGTTAAAGCCTGTAGGAAACATCCATTTAGTCTAAGGAAATCACGTAGGGGTAGAAATATGTGTTAGCAGCTTTCTGTGGCTCTGGGCAGCAGCTTTGTAAGCTGCTAACACGATAATGAAACCACACTCAGCCTTTGCTAGCTAAATTTTAAATATAGCAAAAGGTGCAGAATCATAGAATCATAAGGTTAGGAGAGACCTCTAAGGTCATCAAGACCAACCGTCAACCTAACAATTCTGCATATTAAAGCACAGATATTCTTCCTGAGACAGCCAGAAGACCTGCGGACTTGAATATGTGGCTTTGTTGGATAAAACAAGTGGAAAGAGACTGAGGCAATCTGTAACTATTACAGGGTGGTGATCTGTTGAGAAAGAGCATTAAAAACCCTGGAAATTCATGCTTCCTGGCTTTACAGTTAATGTAGGTGCTGTGGTTGTCATAGTGGAAAAACCTGCAAATTTACATAGGATTATTACCAAAACCAGGCTACAAGTCAAGTGAGGGATCTGGTGAAAAGAGGTTATGAGCATGTGAAGCTTTGCTAATGATCCAATGCAACCTCAGAAGGGCCAAGTGAAAAGGTTATGGCCCCTTTACGAAACAGCAGACCCATACCTGCTCTAAGCCTTGTGCGAAGTTTGAGGTATATGAAACTAAATAAATGGTAGGAGATGAGAGCTGCAAGCCGTGGTAAATTTAAAAAAAAGAAGGAATCAGAAAATGTGGGCAGAAGTTGAGGTTTTGATCAAGTCCATGCTCTAGAGAGCTGCAAGCCGTGGTAAATTTAAAAAAAGAAGGAATCAGAAAACGGGGGCAGGAGTTGAGGTTTTGATCAAGTCCATGCTCTGTGCATTTAGTTTAGTCAAAAACTACAGAATCAGATAAGCCTGAATGTTTCTAGAATGGCCTTGTGTTTTTGCAAGGAGCTCCTAGTGGAGACTGCGTATTTAGTGCTCATACATGATTAGTCAGGATAGATTGTAAAGCGTGAATTTTGGCAGCCGATAGCTCAGGTCTTGGAGCATGAGGAGTGAGGGCAAATTGCACCCAGTTCGTGCTGCCTTATCTGCAGAAACTCAGCTGTTGTTGACTTGGAGTTACTATCCTGAAATGTTGTTCTGCCGTTTCTATTCAGTGGTGATAACTGTGTGAAGCCTGGGGAAGGGGGGAAAAATGAGGGTAAGACCTCAGACAGAAGACTGGAGATGTTAAAGCTACCTGGCAACCCTTTGTGATTCAGGGGGCATCTGTCCTGTTTATTCCATTCTTTGATGCAAGTTGGTCCTGCAGTTTGTGAGCCCTAATTGTTCGTTCTAGGCTGGGGTTATTTTTGTTTGCTTTGTGAAGGAGCACAGCCTGTGGTTTAGCTCTCAGATTAGGACCCCCGTAGCTGAGCATGGTCTCTGTGCAGCAGCAGCTGAGGCTGCTCTTTGCCTGTCACAGTTTCTCTTCGTTGAATAAACTGGGTAAGTGGAAGCAAAGAAGTGAAGAGATACAGTCAGTGGATCTACAGAGGTCCGTTTTGGAAGACAGTGGTCCACACTGTAAACAGTTTGTGGATCATTTCAGTGCTGTGCAAAGGCAAAACAAAACAAAGATTGCTCACGTCTATTGAACCATTTATGTTTCAACATTCAGCTGCAGTTGAATCACGATCATGTGAATATTGTAGCACAGACATAGGCAAAATTATTTCAGGGACGCTGTATTGCCTTAATCTGTTAATTAGATTATCCCAATACAGGCAAAACTTGTTAAGACACCTAGGCTTGGCCTTTGAGGGAAACTTGGCTTTAAATTATGAAGCTAAGGGAAAAGAACTTGAAAGTGGGATTCATGCTTTCCAGTTTGCTGTAATTTCACACGTTGTAAAATCTCCTGTTTTAACAAGTGGCAGTATTCTCAAGTCTCTGTGTGAGACTTGCTAAAATAACGTACTTTGAATTGTCTAACCTATGTCAGCATAATTAATAGTTCTGTAAATTGTGGTGGGAAGAGTGAGGTGCTGACTTCTGCTGTGGTGGCGCAGCCTGGAAGCAGGATGATGGGCTTGTGCATTGATCCTCACCAGGCAGTGCCTGCCTCCCTGCAGGGTTGCTGTGTTTTAGAAGCCCTTGCAGCATAGCATCAGGCTAAATTAAATTCAAACAATTTCAGTTTTTCAGGGAAATTGGTCTACTCTTTGGGTTTTTTTTTTTGTTTTTTTTTTTTCCTGCCTACACTTGCAAGAACAAATTTTTTCTCCAGCACATCTTTAGTGAGGGCTAATCTCCCCACAAGTTCTCCATTCCATTTTATTTTTGAGTCCTATTTGAGTCTAAGGCCAGCTCTACCCTTTCTTCTTACAGATGCTGTCTTCTCATTTGCAAAAGTAGTTTTCATTCCTTTGGGTCATTTTTTTATTATTCTTTTTTTTTGTGTGTGGTGAAGATGAGAGTCAGGTTAAGCATTGTTTGGAGAAGTAAATGTCTTTCCAAGAGTAGCTGTTGAAGCTCAGATTTCTCAGTTTAGATATTTAAGATAATCTTTCTGTCGTTTATGGTCCTAAAAGATTTGTAGCACTTCCTTTGTCAGTGACGGGGACCCGAGAATTCGGTGTGGTGTGTGATACTGGGGTGATTCATTACCAGCGGGCGGCTCAGCCTGTCTGCGATGAGCAGTGTCGGGAGTGCAAAGTGAATGTCAGTGTGGTGCTGGGACTGCAGTTCAGGTTCAGAAGGATTTCTTCAGCATTCCTGTGGCGCTGCTTCTAAGGTCTGCTTGCACATGGAAAAATCAGCGTTATGTTTTACGGCGTGGAGTCTGAGTTTATGAACTCGACGCACTGGATCTGCCCTTCACGCAGCCAGCAAGGAGCAGGTCCGTGCTGCTCCCTGGCGCATCCATTTCTGGGAGTGTGACGCTGAAGCTGGAGCTGATGGGGAATGCATAACACTTAAGATGGCTTTGCTTAAAATAGCTCTGGGCTGCAGGAATAATTCAGTGCCAGTTGTGGCTGTGTGGCACCTTGCAGAGCAAGTCAGGTTCACGCGTCCAGAACGTACTCGGTTGCACTTGGCTGTGGGGGTGGGGGGCCTGCTAGCTTGGTGCGCTGTTGGCTTCTGTCTCTTGTTGTGTTTAGATAGCTTCTTGGCCTGACCTAGTAAGCTCAAGTTTTTAATTTGGGTCCTAGTATGCTGGAAAATGCAGTGCCCCTAAATCTGCTGGACCCAAGCTGTTTCCTGTAGCATTCAGTCTGTGTCTAAGGCATTCTTCCAGCTATCTCCTTTAGTACTTCTATTAGTACTTCTGTTCCCCCTCCCCCTGTTGGTTTTTTTCCCTGAATTATCAGATCTGAAACTTCATAGTGCTAGTAAAACTTTCAGATCTCACTAAAAGTTGCTAACTTCAAATTAATTTGCAGTGGATCTAAAAAGAGAAATTCACCTAGGTGAAAACTCCATTAATGAAATTATTTTTTTGTCCTTTTATTACTTAGTGACACATGCTTAAAGACTTGATTTATGTTTCATTATCATGTGTATATATAAGTTTTGCAAAGGTAGACTGAACCGATTAAAACAGAACTGTAGATCTTGGTGTTTGAATCTTTACAGATTGAAGAAGGTGTTATGGTGATGGAAGATGATTCTCCTGAGGAGGCTGTTAGTACCCCAAATACGCCCCGCAACCTTGCCGCGTGGAAAATTAGCATCCCATATGTAGACTTTTTTGATGATCCCTCCTTGGAAAGAAAAGACAGGAAGGAGAGAATCCCTGTGTTCTGCATTGATGTAGAGAGAAATGACAGAAGGGCAGGTATGGAATGTTGTGGATAAATAAAACATAATTTTAAAATCAACTCAAAATATTCTAGCATGCTGTATTCTGATGGCTGTTGCAGTGTGTTTTGCATACATATTCTTCTGATTTTTAAATAATGACTTGAAAATTCTGAGGAAATGTGTTTGAGATCTAAATGATCACATTTAGTGTTTGCAAGTTGAGAACTGACTCAGCACGAATCAGTTCCGTTTAGACTTCATGCCACAGTTTGAGATTTCCTCTCTCAAGAAATACTGATCCAGCGATTCATGTTAATAAACACTTGACATGTTTTTCTTTGACCTGCTCTGAACTTTGGAATAAATAACTTTTTGGTATAATAAATAGCTTTATATATAACCTTAAGTTACGGTTCCTAGGGAATGACAATGTTTTGCTTATTAGGAACCATCCTGGCTTGCAGATCATTCATCAGTATCTAGATCCATATTGAGTGGGGAAAACAGCTTCGTCCTAGGGCTACATGGATTTGTGTTAGTGAAAGGAATACTTCCACAATAAGCAGGAACTGTTTAATAAGAGTTTAGTGATACCTTCCAGGAGGAAGAAAGCTGAGGATTCAAGCTGATGGTGCAGAGGACTGTATTCAACAAGTAGTATTTCTGTAAATCATTTGGTTAAAAGTTTGAAAATAGATCTAACAGAGTGAGCCCTAATAAATTGTGATGTTACACAGCGCTCCATTGTTTAGATTTTAGGGATCCCCTAAATGAAATTCCGATTTCCTTGCTAGTACCAGATCTGTCTAGCAGGTATGCATTTTAATGTAACATTTTAATTACCTGGCTGGTTGGTTGGTTTTTTGTGTTACTGCAATATGGGGGACTAATATTGAGGTTTTTCCTATAATAATGCAGCATACGTTTGCTGTTCCATAATTTGTTTTTCAAGTGGCATAAAACCTGGTTTATTTTTAACATGGGTTCGTTTGTGGGTTTTTGTTTTTTCCTCCAGTTGGGCATGAACCTGAACATTGGTCTGTCTACAGGAGGTATCTTGAATTTTATGTGCTTGAGTCGAAGCTAACGGAATTTCACGGTATGTTCTTCATCTGGAAAGCTGCCTTTCCACTGCTGTGGTTATTATTTAGTGCTGAGCTGAAATTTAAAGTAGTGAATCCAATGTTTGCTGCGTTATAAGCATAATTTAAAGTTTGAGGTTTCCTCTTTCAAGAAATACTGATCCAGCGATTCATATTGATAAACACTTGGCATGTTTTTCTTTGACCTGCTCTGAACTTTGGAATAAATAACTTTTTGGAACAATAAGTAGCTTTATATATAACCTTAAGATACAGTTCCTAGGGACTGACAATGTTTTGCTTATTAGGAACCATCCTGGCTTGCAGATCGTTCGTCAGTATCCAGATAGCCGTGCATCCATATTGAGTGGGGAAAACAGCTTCATCCTAGGGCTACATGGATTTGTGTTAGTGAAAGGAATACTTCCACAATAAGCAGGAAGTGTATCTTTGGTATCTTTATTAGGTACGTTTCCTGATGCACAGCTTCCCTCGAAGAGAATCATTGGCCCTAAGAACTATGAGTTCTTAAAATCCAAGAGAGAGGAGTTTCAGGAATATCTGCAGGTATCAAACAAACTTTTGGAGCAAAGAATATTCTAAAACTAATGATATAAAACTAGTAAAAGAATATCTACTGGGTTTTTTGTTTCCAAGTAACTTGAGAAAGGGTTCAAGTGGGCATATAAAATTTGTTAAGGTTTCGTGTGACTGAAAACAGAAGTCTTTTTCGAATCACAATATCTATGGTAATTTAATGCTCTTTGGATATCTTTTTGCTATAGATAAACTGATTTTTAAAGATTAGTTTTAAAGTACTTATACTTCTTTCTTTCCTTCTGTCTGAAAGAAACTTCTGCAACATCCAGAACTAAGTAACAGCCAGCTTTTAGCTGACTTCCTGTCCCCTAATGGAGGAGAGACTCAGTTTCTCGATAAAATGTTGCCTGATGTGAATCTTGGTATGTAACGTGCTGGTTGCTTGTGCTGACAAGTAGTGATACTATAGATACTGTGATTGAATGATAGTAGTAATGCATAGATAACTCTTGTGTAAGAGTATGGATGTGGGAAATAAGAACTCTGCTCCTTCACAGCCCTTAAAATTACAGCTCAGCCAGCAAGAGATGCTGATACTTTTTACTTGAAGAAAAAAGACGTTTTGAGATTATGAAAAAAAGTGTTTAAGTGGTTGCTTTGAATTTTTGTGTCAGCAAGCAAGGTGGTAAGTTTTCTGTAATGAATGTCATAGTTCAAGAAGACTTACAGTATTGTCACGAGTCAAATCTGCACAAGTCAGTCATTGTTTACAGGTGCAATGGTATAAACTGCTTCTTCATATAAACTACTTCTGGGTGTTAGTTGATTAAAATATGTTTATTTTAATCTGAAAACTGTGTTATTTAGTATTTCTGGTATTAGCTAGTGTTAAAATCTCTCTTAACATGAGCTACTTAATAGAATTTGAGGCAGTGGTGTATGTCACATAGGCCAAATGGGAATTGAGAAGTTGAGAAATTTTTGATGTCTAATGTAACAGTTGATAATAAATCCCAAAAGTAGACTGCAGTGTGACTTTACAGCTTGGCTGCAATGTCGCTGTCCCCAGATAGTGCGTCTGAGCTGGTAAGGTCAACCCCATGTCCATTCTGCCCTCGTGTATTGTAGCACTTGTGGTTCTGGCACCAGCGTCATCCAGGAAAGCTGTGTCTGAACTGCACCAGTGCCTTTCTGCTTCTCCCAGTCATGGTGTGAACCTGCTGGGATGGCTGTTCTCTTACTGTGCTTACTGAGTTGTTGAATGAGGTTTTGGTGGTCATCCTCCAGTTAAAGCGTTTTCTTTTGTTTCAGACCTCCCCTCTAGATCCAGCTGTACATTTTTTAAAAAAGCTTATAATTATGGTGTTTACTGTAATGCATCTCATGTCTGAGACCGTACTTCACTTCCATAATGTCATTTTAGCAAGTCTTGGCGTTTCCGTAGGGCCTTTTGCCAGGATGACAGATTTTATTATTATCGTTTGATCATTGTACATACTTCCCGACGTAAGGTCCAAATTTAATGACATGTAGATAAGAAAAATATCACTGTAAATGTAGTGCTTAAAATAAAACTAATCCTAGACACTTCAATTTTTCAGCATTCAGAGTTACTGTGTTGTATCCTGATAGCCTTAACAGGACAGAGGAGATGATTTTTAAGACTACAGCTGTGGCCTGTCCAATTTGTAAAAATTTACTCATTGGTATTTTCAGGACTGTACATTCTAAAATCTTTCCAGATTAGCTGGTCTTTTTGGGAAAAGAAGAGAACTCAGTTTTTGTGATTTCTTTTTTCATAAATGTATATGAAGGATGAAGAACTATACTACAGAAAACTTTGCCTATACTGGTGTCATATTGTACTGCTGTTTGGTGCTATAGCTATTTGTGTTTGAGCCTCTAGAAGAATTTTTAAAAAGTATTCAGCTAATCATCTGTATATTTTTCATATTTTAAGTATCTTTTCTTAAAGAGTACTAAGCACTTAGTTATAAGCTGGATATGTGGAAGACTATTTTCATAGGTTTTTGTGCCAAATTAACAAAAACACTGTAGATTTAAGAAACTATTGTATTTTTAAATTAAGTACTAGACAATGAGTACACAAAATGTATCAGAGCAAAATGTCTTTAAGATCAGGCAGTGATAACAGAAAATTTTTGTTTGTTTGTTTCTAATTCTAGGTAAAATTATAAAATCTGTTCCAGGAAAGCTGATGAAAGAGGTGAGTAAGTCTTCCAAGTTGACAGCGTTTTAACTTCAATAACTAATTTTACATGCTTAGGAACTTAGAGGCTAGTCAAAAACTTGTTTGGAAACTCAGGGTTTTTGTGGGTGGTTGTTTGGGTTTTTTTGACCTAAAATTATGCAAGTGACAGGTTGCTCATATCTTATTTCAGAAAGGTCAGCATTTGGAGCCATTCATCATGAATTTTATCAACTCCTGTGAATCTCCCAAGCCTAAACCAAGTAGGCCTGAACTTACCATTTTGAGTCCCACTTCGGAAAACAACAAGAAGGTACAGTAAGTTGTCTTACTTCCCCACTTTACAGGAGTGGGGAAAATTTACCATTCTCTTAAAATGCAAAGAATAAACAGGAAAACTCGTGTGTGTGTGTGTGTATATATATAAAAAAAACCCAACAAATCTGGTTTTTATCTGTTTGTGTTTTCACACAAGAGAGAGAATAATAGTGCAGAGAGCTCTGTCATTTTGTCTTTTTGAGGGTTGAGGGGCGCTTTTTTTTTTTTTTTTTTTTTTTAATTCTTACTGGATTTGGTGATGAGAATACAGAGTAGAGAGCCTGGGAAGTACAGAGAGAAGAAGAGGGAAAGCAAAGGTGTAAAAATGCGGAGTGTTTTAATGCCATAAGGGAGATTCCTTTTTGAAGTGAGGAGCGTGAAGCGTTTCATGAAAGTGTGACTTGTCGAAGTGCTACAAGCCAAAATTGTCAAGGTGCTGATATACCTGTTTATCTGCCTTTAAAATGTTAATATACTGTTCACTGATGTCTGGCGTACATAATAGGTTAATTATATAACTTGGGTGTAGTTTCTGTCTCTAACATTGCCACAGTTAAAGCCCAGCAATCCCAATTTTAACCTTTTACTTGACTATAGGAAAAGATGGTTCCTTTCTTAATCTTCCTATATTTGTGCCTAGAGCCTGGTAAGACTTACTTGAAAGTCTTCCATTAGCTTCAGGCGCTTTAAAAAGACAGTGGTCTTTATACTTCTCTGTTAGACTGCTTTAAAGTGTTAGTGTATTTGTGGAATTTACAGAGGAATATTGTTTCTGGACTAGGATTTCAGAGACCCAAGCTCAGTGTTACAGAGTTCATATGCATACACTTTGGCATGTGAGAGGTTCTAAAAGAAAACGCAGTACTATGTGCTTTTCTGCTATCTTGTTTGGGGAGAGGAGTTGAAACTGGACTATGTAAGCCAGGACTGTTCATTTTGCAAAATGATAAATTGGAGCTCTATGAGATAGTGTAAAGAATAATGCCTAACGTGAGAGGATAAGGGATAAGGTTGGGATTTTTTCCCCCTCTCTCTTCTAGTGCATTCTTCTAAGAGGCATTAAATGAAGGTGATAGGAGCCAGGTTCAAAACAAAAAGCGGTAGCTCTTGCAATGGTTAGTAGGTTTGTGGAACTCCTTGCCAAAAGGTGTTGTGAATACTAGAAGTTCAGACAACTATAAGGTGAGACTGGACAAGTTCACAAAAAGGAAGTATGTTCAGAGTGAATACCTGTAGAGAAACGGCATCTGGCTCTTGAACTTTTTTTTTAGTTGAAAACAATTGGAGGCTGGAAGAGTGTTGGTGAACAGGACTGTGCTCCTTCTGTTCTTGCAAGGGCTAGAAGCCCAGTACCTATTTATGGTTCTTGTTGAAAAAGGGTGTTGAAAAAATGGATCTTTTGATTTCCTTCCCTAGGGACATTTTTATAGTGTTATGACATTTGCAGAATTTGCAGCTACAAAACTTTCATGCTGATTAAGTACAATGGCAGTTAAATCTATTAATTTGTTTAGATTTCATCTTCTAAACTTGAAGTCTGAATTAAACTGCCAATATTGTAGCGCTTACACGTGTACACACACAAAATTAGTGCCCTTCATTTCAAGTAATTTCTTGCCTTGGATGCTATTTCCAAGGTTAAGATATTTTGCTATTGCTGCCTATTCAGAGGTCTATAAATGTATCAGCAGTCTGAAAAATCAGATGTAGTTTTTGACTTGTACTAGAAACAGTACCTGCATAAATACTTTAAATGTGTTTTATAAAACAGCTGGCAGCATACTAAAGCATAGTATGAACAATCAGTTAATTTTTTACTGTGATCTGTCAAGAACTACTGAAGTTAGTAGTTTATTTACATTTAACATACCTAAATAAAATATTTGAGCAACAAGCTTTGCATTCTGAAGTATTCCTGTGAAGACAGGGTTCTTTGTATAGTTTGTTTGAAAAACTTGATTAAAGGATCAGAATTAATTCTTTAAAGGGGTGTGCAAAACCATTTTGGATTGTAAAAGGTTGAAAAAAAATTTATTGCATTGCTCAGTTAAAATACAGACTCATTCTCTGAAGTGTCAGTATGTTATTCTTGTAAAAGAACACGTGTACAGAAATTCAGTCCTGAAATGAGCTTCTCCCGATTCTTTTCCACCGTGACGATCCCAGGAAAGCAAAGAGCTGGCTGCGCTTTCCTTAAACAAAACTTAGATCTTTACTGCCTTCTGTTTTCTATTGTCATTTTCAGAAATAGTATTGTGGGGGAAACTTCCTTATCGCTGCTGACCAACTGTCGTCCATGCATGCACTCCACTGGAAACACAAGTTTGTAGAGTCCGAGTTAGAGTTGTGCTAGTTCTGCTGATGACCCTGTAGGAGGTGCTTTTGTCATGAGATACGAGTTTCTTTGCAGAGAGCAAAAAAGATGAGCCTACCACCAGCTCTCCACTCCTGACTATCTGTTGTGAGAGTGAGTTCGCTGTTTCTCAAAGCAACTTTATTCTAGTTAGCCGTTTTATGGATAGGTGGTTGGTTCTACATATATTTTAGATTTTTCTTTCCCAAAAGAAATCTGTTTGGTTTGGGGGAGCCATTTGCTGTAAATGGGTAGAAAGTTTCAGACTTCAGTCTCTCTCCTGCAGAGCTGTGATTATTTAATGATGGGCACTCAAGACACTTTGCCTTGGGGGATGCTGCAAGACAGTTCTATGATCTGTATCCTTAGTATCTGTTTGTGCTCAAATTATACTACCAGTTTTGACCAGCAGCGGCGTAAGGAATTATGTGCTGACTGCTTTTTCGCTGTTCTCCTATCTGTCAGTTTAATCAGAGCACAAACACTTACATGATAACTGTAATTATTAGAGATCTGATATCCCAGGTTGTGCTGTGTTATGGTCTCTGCTGAGTCTTCCCATGCACATTGTGAGATTCGTCCCTCTGGCTGATCTGTTGGGGTGCTTGTGCCTTCTTTGGAAGACAGTTTTCTCTTTCTGGAGTCAGCCCATGCTTGGGAGAAGCTTTTTGCCAGGACACTGCACTATTTACATCTTGTCGTTTCTTGAATTTGATTTGTGAGCCACACTGGTTTCAGCTGCCAGGCCATTTTAGTTCAGATCAGTGATGCTTTTTGGAAGCAAATCTCCTGATCATCTCTACTTATCATGTTTTCTCTTGTACTAGACAGCTGCCTTTGAACTCATTGAATTTTTTTCAGATGAAACTAAACTGGAAAATGCTGTCTAGGAATGGAGGCACCAAGGGTGTTCAGTCCAAAGGCCAGACCAAAGGTAGACTGAGGTAACACCCCTCTCTACAGCAAATACACGGGGTGTGGACTTCAGTTGTTCCGCTCTGCAGTTTCACTTCTGTTGTGCCACGTGGCATCTTTGTGAAGACACAAGCTCTGTGCAGTAGCCTGACACCCTTACCTGCTGGTGCTGGACGTGGATGCTAAATGTCCGTACCAGGATTGTGCGGGCTGCTTGTGTGGGGTCAGTGAGGAGGTCTGGCAGGCAGCCGAAGAGACGGAAGGTTGGCGCTTTCAGAGTGCCCACCCGTGAGAACAGCATGTTGTCTCACAGCAAGAAAGTTCTTCAGCGCAGAATTTTTTGGTAAATGCTAGATTCGGCTTCCAGCTGATGCTTGTATTGCCACAGTGTTCCCATATACTTTGTCTGACACAGATCTGTTTGTCCTACTAGTATCAGCGTGTTGGAATCTGTTGAAAATCCAGTACGCGTTCCCCGGTGCTCATGCTGCCAGCTCTATTGCCATGAGCAGGGTACACCCAGGCTACCTTCTTTGTCAACAGCCTGAATAAGAAATGCCTGAAAGACTCTCAGGGCAGGTAACAGCTTGAGTTCAATCAGGAATGTGCCGCCGTCTCCGAAAGATTTTTCTGTGTGCTGCTTCCTTTTGAATATTCGTGGTGTGTGTGTGTGTTGGTGTGTTTTAAATATTGGTGGAAGGACTTCCAGTTAAAAACGCATAATGAACCTGGGTAGTCAGCCTTAGTACAGCCAGTAGCAGTTGGATTTTATCCACTAGACTGAAAGAATTACCAGCCTCCCTGGTTAAAACAAACAGGTGAACAAAACATGCCCCTGTAAAGACACCAACAGGATTCCCGGCTTTTGCCAGCTGTGTTTCTGTTCTGAAGATCTGTAAGCAGCTCAGTCATCTTCCAGATGTACTTCTGTCACTTGCTAGGATAGGTCAGGACTTCTCACCTGATACAGACTTTGCAAATATGCCTACCGAGGCATTGTTCTGCTGCTTGTGATGACCTGCCAACAGCAATAAAAACTGCTTTTGGGACACCGACAGCATACTGCGCTTTTGTGCATAGTCACTTGGAGGAAGACACGGTTGCTTTTTGATGTGGTTCAGATACTACATACATTCTTTCTTCTTACCGTTTTGGTATAGTCGCCTGTACTTTGCAAACGAGCAGGAAAAGGTGGAGAGGTTCATGCCTTTGGGTGTGGATATTGTTTGGAATGGAGGTATTGCTTCTGTGAACTCCACGCCTATGCTGGGATGTATGGGCGTGTATTTGCATATGCACTCGCTAACTGTTGAGTAATTGTGGTTTTTCTGTTAGGATTTTATGTAAGCATTCGTACTTATTTCATTAGCTTTTCCCATTGAGTACAATAGACACCCTATTGTACAAAGGATTACTTTGGGGTTTTTCTTAATACGGGCCTTTTGTATTTCACTTCCTTCAGGTGTTTGGCTTCTGTTGGGAGCCAGTACCAATCCGTGGAATTTCCTCATTGAAAGACTTTTAAGGATATTTCATGTTTTTAATCACAGTTACTGTTTAAAGATACGAGTAATGATAACGTTGGAGTCTGTCTTGCTTGTCTTTTTTTAATTATAGTGAGCTTTGTATCACGTCTCAAATAGTAACACGTGCAGAAACATTTACAAGCAAAATCCCATGCTTATCTGAACTGTGAATATAATCTCAACTTTTGTATTAGATATCCAATTGTATGTTTTTCACTTGGCTTTCCTCTGAGCCAAAATCTTGGGAAGGGCAGCACACCTAAGTAGAGTTGTAATGCCGCTGGGTGTTGCGGCTGCTGCATGCTTCAGTCGAGCATTGCTAGTGACTGCAGGATACACAGCTTTACTGGAGTAGTGCACAGTATATACCTTATAAAAACTGCTCATTGACTCAGTAACTTTATCACACGCTGTTCTGCTGTTGCTTTCTGAAATGCCATGTGCAAGAGTCTGAGCTTTCAAAGCTTGCCAATGATCAAGGAACCATCATCTTTAAGGTGCAAGACAGATTACCCAGGTGCGGAGGTACGTACAGTATGCAAAACATACTGCTTCTGCTTTGGGGTGAAAGCTGAAATGACTTTGGGAAGTAAAAAAGGCTTTGCCCTAAGATGGCCTTCACGTTTGAATTTTTTTTTTTTTTTAATACAGATCACCTACCGGACTGCTGTTAATGGTTTAGTTCAGCCTGTACACGCTCCTCTGAAATTTTTATCTGCATTGCAGAATGGGCCGCTTTGAGTTGGCTCAGTATGTATCACCTCTGTCAGGGGTGTATCTAAAAAATAAATGAGGTTCTTGTTTAAGTTACAGCAACTCCACTAAGATTTTCCAAATGTCCTAGTTTCAGTATTGAGGAGGATATAGACTTTATACAGGGTTTTTTAAACAACATAGCAGGGATGCTTTCATACAGTAGGCATGAATAATTATGTGTTCTTTTTAGATTTGTTACTTTCCTGGATACCAATCATCCGCCAGTGCATTAACCATATTTACTCTTTCATGTAATTTATGTAGTAACTTGGTGTTGTTTAATTTGAGTGAACTTTGTGAAGATAATGCCAGCAGTTCAGCACTTAACAAAAGAGAGGGCCTAAAGTCAAAACCTGAGTCTTGCCAGATTTCCTGATGTAATTTTTCCAAAGAGTGCAGAGCATTCTGTTTAAACTTGCATGATTCAGAGCCTGTTGTGATTGGGGTTTTTTTTTATGGCCTTATTTATTTCAGCAATTATAATTGCTTTACAGAAAGTGAACCACATAGAAGTACATTACTTCCTGCTCCTTGGAAATGTTTTTAATTTGGGAGTGATACAGAGAAATCCGTGTCAGTAGCAATCGTCTCAAGCTAGGCAACACTCTAATTACGTTGCATTTGCTTCTAGTTCTGGGATTTTATTTTTTTTTTTATAAGCTTGGCATAAACTTTTGAACTTTCTTTTCATAATACAGCAGTATTTTGTGTAAATTCTTCCTGATCTTTAGATCAACAGTTTGGGGGATAAGATAGTTTAAAATAAACTGTTAATGGTGATTACTAGGTATTGTCAAATGTGGAGAGCTTCAAGACTCTGAGAACTCCTCCTTTCCAGCTGCTGGAGCCCACAGACTTGGGGGCTTGGGGAGAAGTGAAGGAGGTCTGCCTCGGTGGTGCACAACACCTAATGAGATGCAGGGAAGACCATCTTGGGAGTTTACATGTATTATATGTTTTAAGGAAGAATTGAAGACAAGAAAAGGAGGGCAGATGGAGGGTGGAACTTGCGAAGATAAAGGAATAAAATGAAAAGAAATGGGATAAATGGGGGAAGAACCCCAAATGTTGGTAATTTAGAAAGATTCGTAATGTTTTTGCTATAAATAATCAAGCTGGCATCGAAAAAGGTTGGGTTTTGGTTTGGTTTTCTGTTTTCCCCTGTCTGTAAAAAGTTGTTTGTTTTGGCCAGAACCCGTTGTAATTGCTTCAGATTGGAAGCCAACAGGATATTTTAGGAACGCTTGGATGTCATAGGGTTCCCCTGTGATTTAGGGCTGACAAACTCCATATCCGTTATGCCCCTCATTGACAGAACAGGGTGCACCAAAGGAATCAAAGGCTGTGATAAATGTCTAGATGCGTGAAGGTATTGGGAGCAGAAGGGCTCACAAATTACTGCCTCAGTTGCCCTGCTGCTGTGGTCTAAATCCAGGTATTTTGAGAATGTTGGGCATCTTGGCAACGTGTGTTTTTTATTTTTTGTGCCCCTTTGGAGAGAGAACATTTATTTATTATTTTTTTAAATTATATAATGGAAAGCTGGTCAGTTCTTTGAAAGCTCTGGAAAAAAGCTACTTTTAATTAAAAAAAAAAAAACCAACCCAACTAACCAAAACCACAAAAATGCCCCCATGAAAACTCCCACCAAACCACGGATCTGATCGCTGTTCTTTTGCCTTTGAATGTGATGTGTTCATTATTACATTTTTATTTTTAGCTTTTCAATGATTTATTCAAGAATAATGCAAACCGGTCTGAGAATACAGAAAGACGACAAAATCAGAACTACTTCATGGAAATGATGACTGTAGAAGGAGTCTATGACTACTTAATGTATGTTGGTAAGAAGTGATTTCTCCTAATTGTTTTTACACTTCATGCCAAATAGGAAGTTCAGGTTCTTTGGTAAGAAATAAAACTCTATTGTAGTACTCGTACATAGCTCAGCACCTGCAAGCTTAACAGGGTACAACTCAGGAACACAGTCACTCTTTAAAAGACCTTATTGCTGTGCCAAAATAGCGTAATTTATCTTTCATTATTGCTCAGTTGTTTTGTTACATCTCTCTCTTTCTGCATCTCAGAGTATGAACTTATGGGAGTAGGTCCCTTGCTTCTTCTCAAATGTGCCTAGGTTGCTTGTGCATTCTGAGAACTAATTAATAAAAATAGTTGAAGGAAATATCGGATAAGGAGTCTGGAGAATAGTCGAGAATATTCCTCCGGTGTTGCGCTAACAAAGCTACAACTTTATTCGCTTGTTTGCAATCTTTTCTTTCTTTTGTTCTTTTGAATAAGTGACTCGTAAGTCGTCGTTACTAGGAGAACCTTATAAATGTGTGTTACTGTAACTTTGCAGGTAGGGTAGTCTTCCACATCCCTGACTGGCTGCATCACCTCTTGATGGGAGGAAGAATTCTCTTCAAAAATACATTGGAACTGTACACAGACTATTACTTGCATTATAAGTTAGAACAGCTGTTTCAGGAGCATCGCTTGGTTTCTCTGATAACACTGCTGAGAGGTTAGTAAAAGGTACATCTTTGATGTGAAAATACTGCTTTAGTTTGATACTTGAAATCTCTTCTGTTAAGTTGCCAAGTATCAAACTTTGCAATGCTTGACTAAAGCTAATGGAGTTTTAAAAATCACGTGGGCCTATAAAGAAGATTCTAAAAGCTTGTTGTGGAAAGATGCTGAGTCGGCCACGTCTGTCAGTGGTGATTACAGAAAAAAGTGTTATTTGTAACAGTAATTTGCTAAGGTGTGCAAAGAACGAGAAACACAGAAGGAAGGTGGTTTGGTGCATCAGAGTGTGAACGTTCCATGCTATCTTTAAATTAGTTTTCGCTTGTGTGCTGCATCACAGTCCTTTACTGTCAATTTTTTTGTTCCCTTTGTTGCGGTGGGCTTTTGAGAGGGCTTGAGTGTTCTTGACCATCTGATAAGGGAAGGGGAGGGACATTTAAAAAAAAAATTAAAAATTATCTCACAACTGTAGAGAAGTATTACCTGACTACAGTCTGATCTAACCACACCTGGCAAAGCTCTGGTGTCAAGACAGCTCTGGCTGTATCAAGCCAAAAAAAAGAAATCTTCTGAAAGGCAAAAAAGGAAAGCACTAAATCTTTGAGATGAAAACCAAAACCGAGTGCCTAATGTTTCTGATGAACAACAATTCTTGTTTTATTATTCATAGATAAATCTGAAATTTTTGACAGTTTCCACACAGTGCTTTAGCACAAGGTATAAATACTGCTTATAGTTTTGAAAGTGTAAGGGAAATTGTAAGTAAGGAGATCATAACTAACCTCAAGTAGAATTGATCCACACCTAGAAGATAATGCTTTAAAAATTGGAAAAGAACGGAAACAAATTGGCAAAAGATTATTGTCCTTCTCACAGGTGGGATATTCTGGATTCAGCCAGGCTAATGTAATCAAAAGTCTGGCAAGGCTAGGATTCCCTTCCAGTCGAGATCACACAGAAAAGCAGCTCAGCTTCAAAGCCATAAACCAAAATGCTCTGTGTGTGCCAGCGATGCGTGGCTGCCTGAAGAAGTTGGGTTTTTTTCAATGTGTCTTCGCTGCAGATGCTGTGTTCTGTGAGAATACCGAACCTCGCTCTCTCCAGGATAAGCAGAAGCGAGCAAAGCAGACTTTTGAAGAAATGATGAGATACATTCCAGGTTCTGTATTTCATGACTCTCTGGGTATGGTTCGTTGTTCAAGCAGATATATAACCCATATACAGTCACATTAGTTTTCCAGATCAAATAATACTCACGCTGCTAAGGGTTGAGTTGACTAGAATACTGCTACTGGGTGTAAGAACCCAGGAGTTCGGTTTCATCACGTCAGTGTTGCTGACTAAAGTTGCAGCGTAGTGATCAATGAAGACGTGATGGAAATAGAGTTTTACAAATGGACTTAATGCCATAACTTCTGCATCTTTAGAATGCTCCTATGGTTTGTGTTTTATTTGGATGAAGACTGGGTTAAAAGAGGCACACCGGGAAGCCAGCAGATAAATCTGAGCTCTCTTTACACTGCATAAACTAGGGAAGAGGGGCCCATTTGCTAGGTTATTCAGAAAGTATTTTAAAAAATTCAGCTTGTGGTTTATTAAACAGTGTATTAGGACAATACATTGATATTATAAGAAGTGTAATAATTACCTAGGTGTGCAGCCCTGAAGGAAAGGGAGGAAAAAAGAAGAAACTAAAGGAGTGTTTGGTTTTCCATTTACCGCTTTAGATGGATAAAATTTGAACTCTTTATTTAATTTAAACTATGTTTTTTTAATTACTGGAGTTCTGTAACTGCGTCGTATAGCTGTTTTGCAGTCCTTCCTAATGACTTACGTATTTGCTGGTGGTGTCTGGTCTAGATTTAATAGGCAAATGCATTGGGGAAGAGGCTAAATACGAAGGCATCAGGCTTCTGTTTGATGGAATGCAGCAACCAGTGCTCAACAAACAGGTAACCTGCAACACGTGAGAAACCTGCCTTCTGGCACAATATTTCCTGAAGTGAATGTGTGATTATAGTAGAGGAGAGACCTCTAATTCAGAGTTAAAAATAAAAAGCAGTACTGTTACCTTGGGGTGTTCTTCATTTTCTTTTTCTTTTAGTTAACTTACGTTCTGCTGGACATTGGGATTCAAGAACTCTTTCCAGAGCTGAGTAAGGTATGTGCTAACTCCACTCGAGAGCTGCAGAATTCTTCAAGCTGCTAGTGAGTCTGGTCATTGGCGCATTTTTGCTGTAGTTCCCTTGTAATACTAATTTTAAATTTTGGGGAAAATCAGTATTTTCTAATGTGCTGAAACCATAAAAATCTGTTATTATTTATGTTTTTGTTAGTTAGCTCTTTCCAAACCAGTTAAGGCCCATTTGTCTAGCGTACAGCAAGTCTGAGCTGCCTTTCAGTAGAACTGGACAGAGCGATCAGCGGTCGGGATCTCTGTGCCTTTCTTTTTGGTTGATTGTGTCCACCCGATTTTACGCATTTCCTGATTCAGGCAGTGAATTCTGCATGCAGAGCTCAGGTTGAGCTTCAGCATTTTTCTTGAGAATATTTGGCAGGTGGGTTTCTTACCTCTGGTTTGGTCACTGCAGCGTTAACTCCAGCTAGCCAGATAAAGGAGAAAGAATTCGCGCAACACAAAATGCTGTCTAAAGGCAGAGGTTTGTGATCCATCTGATACTAGTACTTACGTGTGTAACGCCTCCACGGAGTTTTACGCAGTAATTTTACAGTTTGGTCTTCATGGTACGCAGGAGGTACTACCTAGTTCGCTAGATGTAAGAAAAACAAACCAAAACCCAGTCACTTAAGAGTAGACGTTCATTGCACGAGCCCCGTGTCCCGGACCTGCGGAGTGCCAGCAGGGCTGTGTGTTGCACGACGGACAGCAACAAACATTAGATGTCAGAACAAGCTGGGGCACCTTCCGTTGCTTTCGCTGCAACGAAGCCAGCTTCGCAAGTCTGCCCTGCTTGGTGCATCAGCTCTGTAGGTCGCCGCCTCCTGTCAGCGTTCAGGTAGTTAAACCAAAGAAGACCCAACCGACCAAGGGAACGAGGAATTAGACTGGAGGCTCGTGCGCTGCAAAGAAGACCTGACTTAGCCCTGCTGTTTTATTCCACTGTTTTCGTATCTCAGCAGCTAATAATACATTTCCTCCAAACAATTGTAATGGGGAGGTTTTAAAAGTAATGACTGGTTCTTACTTCGTTACCAGTTATATTGGGGGGGATCCACTCCAGTGACTGTTCTCTCTGTTCAACAGAGACTGGGCCTTTTGGAGTTGCTTGATACCAAAATGTGTTTGTAGTTACAGTGAAGAACAGAAAAATATTCCCTTTTATTTGAAGGGAAAACTGAGCATCCTGGAATTTTTTGGGCTGAGCGCTGTTCCTTCGGCAGGGGAAATGGCGATGAGAGAAATGGGAAAATTTTCGTTAACGGGGATGTCAGCCTCTTCCCACTCTTGAGATCTGGTATGATCCTGCTGCACGTACCAGTGTGGATCATATACTGGATCACTTGATACATGCTGTGTTTAACGGCAGCGTGTGTAACGGAACAAGCTCTGAGGATAAGAGCTGAAAAACGCCTTTTACAAGCTTTGCCTTGGATACAGCCAGTCCCTTGGAAGTCTGTCAGACGGGATAGAAGGAGAAGGGACAGCTGAGAGAGGAGCAGCATTCCTAGCAGAGGAAGGAAAGAACTGCACTTGAAAAGACAGCATGCCAGTGCCATTTCCAGAGCAGAAAATTGCTGTGTTAAGAAAACTGTATTTAGCAGTCAGGAACAGGAGAAGTGAGAACTTTCAGAGAAAGAAAAAAATACCTATTTTTGAGGAATAGTATTAAAATCCTGAAAGCAGTAGCCTTCCTTTCTCTTGACTCTGGTGTCAAGTGGATATTTTCAGATACCATTAATCATTGCTGCTGAGGTCAGTCATTTATATGTAAATATGCATTTTCAAACTTACTAAGTAATTTTTGTTTCTCCGTTACTGTTGAACAGGGCCCGAAGGAAGCTAGCTCCGTGTCATGTTGGATGTGAATGCAGGGACCTTGCTGGACACCCAGTAGAAACATCTGCTGTGCACTATAGTAATGGGACATGTGGCATTTTAACCTTGCATTGTATATTTTCTTGTAAATAACATAAAATGTAAGTTCTAAAAAATCTCTTTATGCAATAAAGACATGAAAATTTAATACCGATTACAAGTAAATAATATATCTGTACTTTTTATTTAAAATTTGTTTTAGCTGTTATCAGTAAAAGCCAAATTAATTTCCCCCAAATCTCTGCATGTGAAATTACAGAATTACACAAAATAAGACAGCTGGGAGATCAGCCAAGGTGTGCTTTGCTAAAAGAGCCATCACTGTTGTCTTCCTTAAAGGATATGTAGAAAAATTGTTTGGAAGAAGTTGTAGAATGCTCCCATGAAGTTATTTTTAACTGTCTTAACAAATCTTACTGATTTTTTAAAAACAAAATTACATGATTGAATCTATTCCATACAGATCATCTCAGAACTATCTTTGGCCTTCATTCTTTCCATGAGCGTGGAAAATCATGTGTGTAATTTAGTTTATTTAATACCTGACCTTCAAATCTGGAGCACTCTTAAAGTAATAATGAGTGTAAAAAGTGGTTTTGACTTTTACCTTAGCCTTTATTTTTCTGCAATTTCTCATCTGGGTTTGTTGGTTTTTTTCAGACATCCTCTTTACAGGCTTAGAAAAGAGGATGCGAGTCTGTTCATACAGCATTTTCTAAAAGTGTGTGGAAGATTTTTCCTGTAGATCTAAATTTTTTGGCCCGGCCTTTATAAAAGAGACTGAAAAGGCCTTCCATGTGTGGATTTCTAACAAGTTTTACTCACAGAACAATACAGAGATACCTTAATAGGCATTCCTCCATTTTTCTTTTCAGACGACACCCACTTTCTCCTGTTTTACAAACAAACCAATCCAATGCAGTTTTAGAGTTCTTTGTCACTACAGTCTGCGTGACCTGTCTGTGTTACTTTTGCACACCTTTTCCTTCTGTTTGTCAAAAGGAGATCAAAGTGTTATTTCTCTCTGGCTATGCCAACGGAATTGTTATAGCTCTTTAAAAATTGGTGTGCAGGTACAGGTCGGTCCATAAGTGCACCCTCTGTTACTGGTTTTATGTTGATTTGGGGACGACCATTCTCTAAATAAATAACTTTAGGGACTGGCCTTGACAAATCATCAATGCCGTGTTATAACTAGTAGTGTGTCAAGGTCAGGTGTTTGTCTCCCTGTTCTAACACAACTTACCTAATGCAGCTGTGTCATCCAGATTTTTTCATGCACCACCCTTGAATTGATGCGGAAAATAAGCAGGTCCTGAAATTTAAGCACACTGGATGTTTATCTTAATGCCCCTTCTCCTTGAAATCTGCGGGTGCAGTCAATTTAAGAGGTAAGTAGCTTCCGTCTGAAAAAGTGGAGCGTGCTTTCCAGAAGAACAAAGCAGGTTTATTCAAAACACGGATAATCAGTTTAATACAACAATAAACAACATGGGAACACATTGGTATCAACATTCCAAATGTGAACGGTCTTGGAAAAATTGTCATCATTTGCACTTATTTATAAGCACTCACTTCTTGATAAAGTGTCAGACACGTACACTGAGCATTTAATCCGATTTTGATTTTCTACTCATTAGCCTATCTCTTACAACTGCGTTTTGTTGGGGTTTTTAAATTTTAGCTTTCCCATAGAAGAGACAGGCTCTTGAGTTACCATCACAATAATCATAAAGCCAGGTTATGCTGTAAAAAAGACCCATTCCTCGGCAGCTCCCAAAGGATGCCACAGTGCTGCAGGAGTCAACCTGTGTACCCAACGTTCTCTCTGAACATCGCTCATACAGAGTAATGGTCAGGAGTCCTGTGTTTGGTCTCTGAAAAAGGTGTAAAATTGAGCATGTTTATATGAAACATAAGCATAGATCATGTTCTCACTCTAGATACGGTCCCCAAACTGGTCATGTTAAGTAGTGAAGTAAATATACTCAGTTAAAATTGATCCAAAGAAAATCAAGCTTTCATTGCATCCTTTATTAATGGAAAACATAAGTCAGATGCTGCATCTTGAAATGTAAAATGGAAGAACTTCTTTTAATTGCATGTAAATGGGCCTCATGTTTTCAATGATGCTGAGTTTAATCCCCCGCGTTAAGGCATTGGTGTAGGTCTGATAAATATGACTGGAAGCAAAGTAGAATTACTAAATTGAATGCTTAAGCCCTGAGTGTAGATCAAAGGAAGGTATATATGCCTTTAATAAATCTGTTTCTAGAAGCTTGTTTACGTTACTGGAATCAGATTCTTAACTCACTATCTAAAGCAGCTAAAAGAAATTGAAAAAATAAAAATACCCCATTTCGGTCCGCAGTTATTTTATGATGGAGCATTAGTATTCACTGGAACTTTGCTTCTTGAAACCTCAAACTGAATTGCGGGTACCTGCTGGTCCAAGCTGAGAAGTGAATTCTGCCCGCTAGTTGTGCACAGCGCGCTTCACCGACTCTACCCGATCAAAGGCAACCGCTTGCGCGTGGCTGTTGACAGGCAGAAACCTACACACTCATTCGTTTTAGGGCGTAAGAAAAGAGAACAGTTCCCTTTTCCCTTGGTCAGCACCACCTCTCCTCCTGCCTTCCTCCAAACAAAAGCATAGTGAGCAAAAATCAAGTATGCAAGACTGTTACAGTGAACAACACAGAAATCAGGGTAAGACTTGCTTCGAGAAGGCTCCCAGAAGAAAACTTTATTCGACCTTCAACTGCTGGGTAAACTCTCTTCATTCTCTGGAGGTAACGGGAAACAACCTCAGTATCAGGGTCACCTAAACAAACACACACAAACAAACAAACAACCCAGTGTTCTCTGCAGCAGCGCACCTCATAACCAAAATTTAAGAACCTGTCTACAACTGCAGTTTAGCTCAGGTCTTAAAGGAAACCCTTTGCTATGCTGAATCCATGCACACCGAGACAGCGTCGGGGTGCGCAGAGCTTTGTTCTGCACAGATAAAACCTCTGTGGTGGTCTGTAGCCAGAATTTTTGGTAGCAACTTACATTTTACCAAAAAAATAATTCTGTTTGCATCCTCTGGCTTTTTTTTTTTTTTTTCTGTTTGTTTTCATCTGTTACGCTGGTAAGTTCCAGCCAGATTTAGGTCGATCGAGATAGTCTCCCACCTGCGACTGCTGTCGCTTACACCCTTTCAAATGTAACTTTACTTTTTTTTTTTTTTCTTAGGAAGAATGTTTAGGCTGTGCCCTGCTGCACGCACACAAAGTGTGATGTGGATCTTCTGCAGTGGGAGGCCCTCTTCAGTCACTGCTGCCAACCATGTCACAAGTCCCTTCTGATCCAAGCTCTTGCAATCCTAAAGTGCAACACCTGCATCTCAAAAGTAATTACAGTTTTGCCCCTCTGCTACACTGCAGGACTTTACCAGAACCTTTCAAGTTGTTCCCTTCCATTATTCCTAACGATTTCTCTCTATGTGAGTTTATTTCTGCATATGTAGGTATTCACTGAACACTACAGCCTCCCCAAATTTACAAGCCATAGGCTGAATTTGATTTAAAACATCAATCCTACCCGTGAGAATCAGTTTTAAGTTGAAACACCCTGTAGAACAAAAAAACCCGTTAACAAAGGTCCAAAAGGAAAACTTTTTAGGTAAAAGTATGATTTTACCATCCAGAAGCAGAATATATGAAATTAAAGTTCTGCAAAATGTAGATGTACTCCTAGAAGATACTATTTTTTTTCTTTTAAATACAGCGCTACATCCTTTTTGTGCTTTCAGACATATTGAATTTTATTCTCAAAATTTTTTCTCAAGTTTCCTTTTGTCCTTTTTTTGTACGTGTCAGCTGTGTGAATGGTGAATTTCTAACAGTTTGCATGTGACTTTAGGGCACCTTAAGGCAGCATCGTGAAATGCTCCTTCCCACCGCTAGTGCGGCGTCTGTCGGCACCCTGCGCGCTGCTGCCTGCAGAACGCGCGAGAGTCCCGCCGCTTTCGGGGGGCAGGCTGACTCCTGCAGAGCAAGTCGGCTCTTTCCCCTCGCCCTCTGCATTGCTCGCCTCAGCTGCATCTTCTGCAGTAGCAGAGGTGACGATTCTGTCTTTGCAAATACTTCTATACAGTGGGAATTTAAAGGAAATAGCACCTTTCTTTTTGATGCGTTGTGTAGTAATGAGCACGAGTGTAAGGCAGTACACGTAATATGTGCTCTCTGTAGTGTGGGGTTTTGCCTTTTTTTCTGGTTTATCGTGATCTCAGAACTACCCTCTAAGCAGTCCTGAATTGGTAAGGCTCAGTTTCTCTTTGAAACTTCTGTGATTTAACTAAAAAAGAATACAGTTGCTGGCTACAACCAAAACCAGCAATCCAGAGCAGCCAGATTAGAAGCAAATTTAATCTATTCAGTAAAAGCGAAAAGTCTGAGACTTTTACTAGAGAAAGATCTTTCAGCTTTTGGGAATTGTTTGCCTGCTACCCTGTTGGTGCCCATACTTACCTTTACTGTAGCCCAGATTTTTGTCTTTCAGCATGTGATAGCCATCTCCTCCAAACAACATATAGGACGGAAGAGTCACATTGTATATTTCATCCATCTGGAGCGGGACGTAGGCTGGGACGCGGCAGGCTGTGCAAAGCACTTCTAAACTAACAACTCTGCTTCCTGGGGCTCTGGAGAGGTCATAGACCACGTGGATGCCTGCAAAAATACACGTTTGAGTGCCACTTTATGCAGCACCTATTGAACATACAGGGCTAGAAGCAGCATCCTCCACCAACTTCAGCTGACTCTTTCCATTAGCTTCTGTGATGAGAGGTTGTATCATTCTGAGTTATACCAGTTAATGCCCTGTTTTCCTTGCGTGCTACTCAGCTTTTATGTAAGAAATTTCATGAGATGATTGAAGAATTGCTGAAGCACCGTCCCACCTCAGTTACTTATCTGATCGTCTGTTCTTACCACTACTCCACAGAAGGAAATTACTAGTCATGGGATTAGGATACTGCAACATAAAAATACCTTCCTTTATTTCTGTAGTCATGTGCTTTCTCACTCCCCTGGCTCGTTGGCTGAAATGACTTCTTTTAAACCCAGCAGCCACCCAAACGTAGCAGCTGTTACAGATAATAGGTACTGTCCTAAAAAAAGCCAGCCAGGCCAGGGCTGAAATTTGCGGTTTCTCTTCGCTGTAGGAGAAGTAACATTTCTAGCTGTGAGCCTTCCTCGGTCAAAGCCTGGGAGAGTTAGGCCCCCAGCACAGCACTGCCAAGAATGTCCCGATCAGGGAGCCACTAAAAGCTCATCCAAGGCACAGAGGCTCTTCCAACCCTGGCGCTCTTCCTGCTCTGGATCTTCTGTTCTGAACCCTTTCCAGAGCTACTAGTTATCTTCTTTTTCTGTGAGCAGGCAGCACACAGAGGGGCTGCTGCTGCTGCTTTACCTTAGCGGTACCTAAGAAGGTGGTAACTTACTGGTGGAAGTGTGAGATGTGGGTTGTGCCCTTGGCGTGTGGGGGTTCTAGATCACATGGGGGAGGCAGTGCCCCCATCACCAGGCTATGGAGGGAGGGGGCGAGGCATGGGGGAGGCCAGGGGCGGAATCTGTCAGCCCCTGCCCTTGAGTTTAGCTTTTCTGCTAAATAAACCATAAAATCTGCACTGCGTCACAGAGAGACCAGGAATAAATGTGACTGTAGCCGAGTAAACAGCTGGATAAACATATGGGGACGTGTGATTCAAGAAATGTGTATGTTTTTTAACATCAACTGTTCATCCCTAAAATATTTAGAAATTCAATGAGGCAATTCCATAGCCCACTTGGACTAGCTGGAAAACTGTCAGCAGTTATTAGACAATGGCACAAAATGATTCCGATTAACTGAAATTGGGCAATAACTGACACAGACAGCCAGTCTGGGGTTTCAGGTAGGCTGCCAGTGAACAACTGAAAACGGGAGTCTGTCGTAGCTATTACTGTGTTACTTTTATACTCAATTATATATCTTCCTGTAGTTAACTGGAGTGTTAAACTGCTGCCATTTTTTTACCAACTGGGAATACGGTCTCTGCGAAAGGGAACAGCGATGGCCTGTGTGCTGCGGCGGCTCCGTTAAACACACGCAGGATACACAGCGCGCGTTAGCTGGCACGCGTGAGGCACAGGACGAGGATGTTTGGCCAAACTGATTTCCATTCTTAAAGAGGCTTCCGGGTGTAACACAAACAAGGCTGACAGAAGGCACGGCTGGTTTGGAAAACAGAAGAGGAAGGAGGAAAACATACCTGCAACCTGCAGCAGCTCTCCGCTTCCTCTTCCATATCTGCGCACACTGTGCTCAAAAGCTTCTTTCAGAGTGGAGCCTTTTACCCTTACCAAATCAAAACGACCTCCAAATGGCAAAACAGAGAGCAAATCTTCCATAGTGATGCTACCTGAGGGAATGAATCATGGAATTACAGAACGTTAGGGGTTGGAAGGGACCTCGAAAGATCATCTAGTTCAAGCCCCCTGCCAGAGCAGGACCACCTACAGTAGGTCACACAGGAACGCGTCCAGGTGGGTTTTGAGTGTCTCCAGAGAAGGAGACTCCACAACCTCTCTGGGCAGCCTGTTCCAGTGCTCTGTCATCCTCACAGTGAAAAAGTTTTTCCTTATGTTTACGTGGAAAACTTTATGAAACTTTATTTACTTTTTCCTTTTTTTTTTTTTTTTTTAAGTTGACAACATTACTTTAGGATCATTTAACAGTACGTTTTTGACAAGGAACGTGCCAAATAAAATTTAAGAAATCGAGGACCAGTAGAGGTGAGAATCGCATATATTGTCCTTATCAAAGAACCTACATCTTTATCATCCAGCAAGTATCAAGACCTATAAATCTGAGTTTGATGTTACTGCATGTCTTGCTATTCAAATAACTCTACTAAAAAAGATTACGAACCACTAACCTAAGATCAAGAAACGCAGTTATTCTTACTAAGTAAGTCAGGCAATATTTCCAATTGCTTAAGATTGTCTCACATAGTCCTACAGAAATATTTAGCTAAGCTGCATAAAGTGTTTGTTTTCACGTTTCATTCATAGGATATCAGGAAAACAAAAACTGTGAAACCTTAGCATTCAGAAAAAAAACAGAATTTACTTATTCTACACTAGACTGCAGAAGGCTCCCAGTGACCACACCAGATGACCCTCTACAGTAGGAGGTGAAGAATAGCCACTGTCTGTCTTTGTTTCAAGGCAGCAAGGAGAGAGGGAAATGGTAAAAAGCATCGCGTACAGACAACGCTAGTAACTTCTGTTCATGTCAGCCTGAGTGCAGTTGTGCTCTAACGACAGGTAACATCTGAGAACGTTTGGAATCGCTTCCAAACACTGTGCAAAACGCAGCAAAACGAGCCCATACCTAACACGGTGTTCAGGCTTGCACGACAACTTGATTTTTCCTTCTTGATGAAGTTGTCATTCAGATTGCAATTTTACATACCGTTACTGCTCTGTTCATCGATGGGCGACCGTATCCCACCTCCATTCAAGATGCACATTGAAACATGGTTCCATGACTTTTTATCCGGACGTCCGACATTCTCATAAAGCTACCAAAGGAGAATGATTAAACTGATTTTTAATCTTCACTTAGTCTAGGCTCTGGAAAATTACACCCAATACAATCTGAGACTGAAAAGAGACAGAAAGGTTTTATATCTTTTTTGACATTACCTTCAGCCCCACTGTAAAATACTTAACTATTTAAAAAATGCAAGGCAAAACACATTAAAATAAGTATTTTGCTTTTTTTAACTTTTAACAAGAAAAACATTTGCCTTTTTCTGTAATGAACTCTCGGACACTCCCATAGTCTGTGTGTATATAACCAGGGCAGGTCAGCTGAACAAAGGAAAGATGGTTTTCTGATTCCAGCAACTGTGATAAAGACAAATCATTTGAGCGTATTTGGAGAATCAGGAAGTGAAGACGACCTTAAATGCAGCTGAACATTAAAAACATGTAGGGGAATGTATAAATTAATCTAGCTCTTGTATGTTTCAGCTTCTCTGAGATTGGTTTTTACTATTTGGAACAGTCTTGGCAAACTAGAAAGATGTAGAAGAGTGGAGGAACAGGAAACAAGCATACTAGATCAGACCCAAAAGTCTACTCTGCACAGCATCATGTCTCCAATGGTGGCAAGACTCTGACAAAATGCAAGGACAAGATAGTATTTGCTTGCGGCATCCTAAGTAGTAAAGAAAATGGAGACCAGGGATTTGCTCAGTTGCATAAGGATGATGAGCCTACGGTGTTAACCCTCAGGAATAACCAAGTAGAACAGGAAAAGGCTGAGAAAAGAAACAAGGACAATGGAAGGGATGGACTGGTTTCCATACAGGAATGACTCTGGTTATGACTCCAGTCTCACAAAGACAGAAATACAGGAAGGACATGACAGAAGTCTACAAAATCAGGAAGGGCATGTGGAGGCTAGGTAGGAATCAGTGTGTTTTCTCATTTCAAGAATGATAAAAAACTAAGACAGATTCAGAGAGGGATGGTCAAAGACACAGAGAAGCTTCTGAACGTAGAATGATGATGTAGGCTCAGACTGCCTGACCTGAGACAACGGAAGGAACATATCTGAGAAGCCTATAAAATCATGAGTGGTGTGAAGAGGGTGGGCAGGGACCAAGTCTACAGGGACCTGTACAAGAACTGCTCCTTCGGCTTCCAGCAGGCATCCAGCCAGCAGGCAGCAGGCTGCACACAGATAAAAGACCAAGGTCTCTGCAGGATGTGCAGGTAACACCCTGCCACTGGCTGTTGTGAAGGCTGAAGTCACAAGGAGATGGGGCAAGTTCAGGGAAAAGAAGTTCCAGCAGGAGCTAATAAACACCAAGACATCACTCCTGGCTTGGGAAGTCCCTAAGCTGCAAGCTGGTGGGAGATGGGGACAGATTTGAGAACAGGATCTCCACAGGCTTGTCCAGGAGTATGCTCTTCCCTCACCATTCCCCCTCGGTCACTCTTGGAGACAAGACGTTGGGATGGTCGGTCCTGTCCTCTGTTCCAGTTTGGCCACTGCTCTGCTGCACCCCTATGCTAAGTGTTTTCAGCCTCTGGCTTGCAGGTGTGTAAATGCTTTGTGGCTCCAGCTTAGTGATCAAAGTTATTCTCCATGGCCAGATCCATGAGCTATTCCTCACTTTGTAACTCCTCATCAATGAATGGATTGCAACTCTCCAGTCCTGAGCACAGGCAGCTTAAAACAAGAGCTCCCAGAGCGCTGTTGGCAATTTCACAGCCTTTTCACATTAGAGTTCCTTTAAAGTCCTTTGTAAAATGTCATCTGGGTCTGTCAACCTTTTATTCTCAGATTTTGGGCTATTGTTGGAGAAGCATCTCCGAACTAAATGGGCCTATGTTTTGACCCGGTACAACCGTTCAATCAATCTTCTACATTTCTCCATCTCTACGTTTCCCAGGACAACTCTAAATACTAACACCTGTGGAACAGGCAGGTCTGCTCTTTACCTGCATACCCCTGAACGCATGGCGGCAGACAGGAAAGCAAGTATAGAACTGGTAAGGCAAAGAACATCAAGGGTAATCCATGTATCTGCAGATGGGTGTCTAGAGACATCGATTTAACTAAGGTAGAATTTGACCTACCAAGACAGCATGTACAGCAAGAAAATTCACAGACTTCTGAAAGACTACAGAGTTACTTGCTTTAAGCTTGGGAAGTGCCAAAGCATTTGACCACATTTTTTAAATAAAAATATAAAAAACTCTAGCAGGAAGAAAGCGCAGGGTGCTCCAATTTCAGTAGAACTGTATGCAGAGTTCCCAAATCTTAATCTAATTTGGAAATTAGGCCATGAACTAAGAATTATTTTATGCATTACAATAAAAGCAATCATGTGGACTGGATAAATAGCTTTTGAGACATATCTAATTGAAAACTCATGATTATTAATTGTCTCCTGACTTTGTGGCAAAGCTGTGGGACATTTAAGGCAATGCTCATTTTCTGGAAACAGTCACATTAGTGACCATTTTTCCCTGGAGCACCCAAAGGAAACGGTGCCGCTGTGTGAGACTAAAACAATCAAAACCAGCTTGTTTAAAAACTGGAAGTGGCTTCTCGTAAAGAGACCTTCTGGTGCTACGTGACTGTTAAAGCCCAGCGATACTTGTCAGGATGCAGCAGGAGACAGTGGCTCCCTCTGAGGTGGGGTGATGGGGGCTTTTACCTCTTCTGTGTCTGGCCTTTGCTTCAGCTGGCACCTTTTGGACTCTTTGGGGGACAATTCATATCAGTGATTTGACAGAAAACTACCCAGAATTTGTTTTTCTGGGCTAGCACGTTAAAAAAAGGGTGACGGCAGAGCCCCCAGTGATGGGGCAGAAGGTAAGTGCTGTGAGCAGGGGGCCGGCAGCAGGGCAGGAGAGGGGGAAGGGAGCTGGGCTCCTCTTTGCTTGAGGAACGGGCTCCTAGATCAGATGGCGGCGTCTCTTAAAAACTGCAGCTTCAGAGACAGCTGCGAACAAGCCATTCTCCACAGAAAGATACACGCAAAGAGTAAACGGCTCTTTATAGAGCAAGATTCATCACAGCCTTGCTTCTGCCAGCTCTTTCGAGGCACGCACTAGGTGTCACGGTGTTGGCAAGCAGCACGGAGCCCGTGTGCTGGTAGTTCAGAGCCTGGGAGCATCTAATCTGACAGCTCTGGAGTAACACTTAGATGTGATTGCCACCTGCGGTGGCAACGACTCACCACAGCATCACAAAGCAAATTTCCCATGTTACATTCTTGGAAACGGCACGCTTGGCTTGTACCATTCAGGTAAACGCTAGTTTTTCCAATCTCTTTAGAATAATCCCCCAGGTTTTTCCTCCATTTTTCCACTTCTTCTTTAATGTGCTCATCTATAAAGTAGTATAAAAGTGTAAAATAAGCATTGCACCTATCTCGTATTAATGACACTTCAGTGAATACAAAGCTAGGAAAAAACCTCTGTTCTTCATGATTCAAAAATGGTACACTTTCCCTAAAGGCTCTTCAAGCAACACGACATCGACACTCACTTCAAACAAAGCCTGTAAAGGGAGCCGGCAGGATGGGACAACCAAGTGAACAAGCTATTCCTGTGCCACAGCAAGGTTATCTCCTCTTTAACACTTGAAAATATTTTTGCCCAGTCCTGTTTTAACCTCTGATTGATGGGGTTTCTATCACCTACGTTGACAGGTGAGAGCTTCTATACAGGAATTTTTAATATACAAGTGAGCTTGGTCTTTATTTGACATCCTATCTTTTTTTTGTTGTTTTTTTTTTTCCTAAGTATAGCTTCTTCCCCTTTAATGTAGTGCTAAAAGGAACACTAGCTCAAGTATCAATGTCAAGGAATAAACCCTTTATAGAAATCAATTATCTATGCACATCTGTCTGCCAGAGGCAAATCTAATTATTTCAGAAAAAAAAACAGATACAAAGATACTTGCATATACAGACACATTAATGTCGCAACTGTTTTATATCAGCTCTTAGATTTAAGGAATTTGCCACATAACCGTCAGCAACAGCAACATTTATAAAACAAGAACACCTATGTATCTGAATTTTTATTTTTACTGACATCAGAGAGAGAATGTAAAGAATAATATAGTAAATAAGAATATCTGGGAACACATGATTTTCAAAGGATTTATTTTATAAATACTCTGGTAGAACCTAAGAAGTCTATTAAAAGCTCATAGCTTCATACAGCAAACACTGGAAAGAAACAATGACTAGAGAACCAGCCCCAGGCAACTACAGAGCCGACAAAAAGCAGGTAACAGAGCCTGGACAGAGTTATGAACAGAAAGCAAGAGAGACACTCTCCCCCTCCCAGCTCTTTAAATGTTTCAGGGCTGGAACGTTGAACACACTCAGCACTGAAAACAGGAAGCTGTGGGGTTTGTATATTATATTTGCACATTGCCAGAGTGTTCCTTTTTTTTTTTTTTTTCTGGGGTATTTCCACTTTTCTATATTGCCCTAAACTCTGTTCTGAAGAACTCAACACTTGGCAAAACAGTGTAAATTAGTCCTCATAATCTTTTAAATCATGATTACAGGGCTAGCTAAAATGGGCTCTGCTAAATGCTAAGGTCATGTATCACCTGTGTTCCTACAAAGGGACTTTCAGTGATTTTAAAGAGACAAAAACATACACTGAGTTTGTGCATATTCAAAACCCACTGTCCAGAAAGAGAAACAGGGGCAAATGGGCACAACTGTAACACAGCCTGAAGCCTACACCAAAGAGAACGGCAAGCTCAGGAAGAAAGCCAAGTTCTTCTGCAACACTGTACTATGTATTAACATAATAACACTTGCACTGTAGGAGACTGCTGCAGGCAAATTGGAATGTCTGGTCCACATACCTTCAGGAACACTGCTGTCCAGCAGAATGGGGTTTCCAGCTGCTTCAACTACATTTCCTTTCTTGTCAAACAGAACATTTAGGCAACCAAGATATTTTCCATAAGCATAAGCTTGTACAACTGGCACCTTTCTCCCATCATCTGAGTCAACCATGAATGGATACGGGCCAGCCGGCTGTTCAGTAGAAGGTGGCGTGCCTGAGTGAAACAAGCATGTAAAGCGGGTCTTCAGCTCATGTGACCTTCAAGAAATTATTAGAATGACATTTCAAATGTTTCTCAGCCTCAAAAGAAACAAATAGGATTTTAAGCAGAAACAACAATGAATGTATTGGATGACAAGCACACATATGATTGTTCAGTTATGTTATTTCATAAGAGACAATGTTGTTTTCAGGACATGAGCGCTAATAACTGCCACAGTGTTTTTTAAGTTGTGACAGCACACTCCTCCATGACATCATGTCACAGTAACAACAAAGGAACTTTTCATTTCAATTATTTCAAGCCAAACCTCTCAGTAATGCACACATACCAGCCTCTGTCTGAAAAGTTTATTGTTAAGCCTTCACACTACATTATTCTGCATCAGATAGAAAATGAGAATGTTACTAAAAGATACATAGGAGTTCTTGATATGAAAATGTCTGAACTATTTTTATTGATAATACGTAGTCAGAACACCTACAAGCAGTTCTGTGAATTTGTGCACACCCCCAACTGATTTTCTTTTTAACTGTACCTCCAAAATTTCAGACAGGCTACAAACCCTCTACAAAAGCAAACTTCATTAGCCTTAGAGTTATGTGGTCATGGATTTAAAACTCTCATCAACCTGCGAAGTTTGAAGGGTGATTAGACGTAGGACTTGGAAACAGATTAAAGCAAGGCATTTACAGAGAAAAGAGATCTCAGCTCAATCAGCATAGGCTACCACAGCATTTGGAAACCAGGCAGGGGATGAAAGCGGCAAAGAAAACTACACAGCACAGCTCTTGTCTCAAGGGTACCAGCCTTCTCCCTGTCTCCTTGACATTATTATCTGAGTAGTATCACTCCCCCCTGTTATTCGCGTCAGCAAAGACCATGGTCGGGCAGCTCTGAGAGGCATCACGTGCTGTGTGGCAGGTCCCATCGCAGAGCCCCCCAAAGCCTCCTGCTCACTCCTGTCCTAAAGCCAGTGGCATCTCCTGTCCGTGTGTCAGAGAGCTGCGGAGCTGGCGGGGCAGGGGCATGTGGGAGCGGGTGCAGAGGGCGTGAATCCGGAGGGAAGCGGGTTCTTCACTTCCACTGCTCACAGAACAATGGGTTTCCTTCCATTTGCATTTGTTAACATAATGCAAAATCCTGGGATAAGTGCTATGACAAATGTTCCCCCTAGAACTCCAGTACGATTCACACTTACCACAGAATCACAGAATGGCAGGGG